AGATGGAGAAGGGCATCAAAATAATCAGAAGAGAGACCTAATGGATTCACGTCCCTTATAGTGAAGTGATGTACAACTTTATGAAAATTAAAACAATGAGTGATATGGGCAAATAGGGAAAGTATCTACTGTTTGTCATAATTTCTCTGGATATCTGCAATTCTTTTATTGAGCAGCAGGTGAAAACAAAAGGACATAAAGTCTCACAGAATGTGGATGCAAATTTTGGAGCGGTATATTGCCATAAATCCTATAAATGGGTTTGAAAGGCTGCACAAATTTATAGAGGAAGAAAAATGTCTGTTGGGGCATTTCAGTGTGATGGCTACAATGGCAAGTCTGAGGGTGTTGCTTGTTTGAAGATGCAAGGGCTTGCTAGGACAAGGATAGCCTGTTTGTTCTGTTACACATAATGTTTCTCTGACACTAGTCCTTGACAGTCAGACTGGGTGTTGGTCTATAAGGACACTTAATCCAGTAGGACAGTTCTTCTAGGTTTGTGAACTTGAAGGGACATGGTAGGTTGGAGGGACTGAGTTCCGAGTTTGACTTGATTTAAAACAATTGGGTGATACTCTGTAGTCTAGCTGTCTTTTACTACTCTTGAGTTAAACTGCCGCATGTCTGTTTATGTGAGACCTCTGGTTTTGTTCTGTCAGCCACTGACAGCAGCTGTATGTCACAATCTGTCTGACTCTGCTGGTGGGTGTAAGTGGAGCCCACCTATGCTGCTGTACAATTAAATCACAGTACCTATTACAAAATACGACTCTCCTGACTCTGTTGCAACACTTCAGCATGTGCTAAAGGCTAAGCCTAGCTTGTAAAAAGACAGTTTCTGGTAAATTATTCTTGTCCAGCTACACGTCTTTATATTCTTCCATACTTTTGGGGTTTAGCTGAGAGCAGTGCCTACTGTTCCCAGCACTGCACTTGAGGAAACGCAAGACCTACAAAGTCCGGTTTGTAGAAATCTTGCTCTAATTTTAATGGGAGGAAAATATAATGGTGATTATAAGGATATTACTTTATTACTTAATAAATTAAGCCTGGCTTAAATGCAGGAACTTTGTACTCTTTTTGATTAAAGTAATGTACTTGCAGTAGATGAGTAGTTATCAAAGTAACCCTCACTTGTAGAAGATGTCTTCTGTGTTTTCTGTGACCATCTGGAACTCTGATTTTGGGGTCACACTTCTCATTTCTGAACATGGACCTGACTTGCGGTGACGTTCAGCTTATCGTTAGGAAAAACTCCACTTTCAGCTACCTGCTTCCTACTTTGCATCATGTTCATTTCTCCAACTTTTCCCTTTGGTATTGAGGAAATGCTCTGAAACTGAACAACCTTGTTGGTTTGGGTTTTAGAAAACACATTTTTTTGTGTGTGTTGTTTAGAGAAATCTGTGGGGAAAAGCGGTTGCATGACACCTATTGGTTTTTACAGTGGTAGCAAGCCCTGTGCCTTCACTGCGTTAGATGTGGAGGCACTTTGTGCTATAATAAAGCTGCCGGCTCAGCCACGTTACTACAGAGGTATTTGGAGGCCCACCTCTGCGTTATGTATTGTATGTACAGGTAACGAACGACCCCTACCCAAAAGTGACTTTGAGATGCCAGTTCTCTTTGTGACAGGAAACAGGTGAATAAAACAGGGGGGCACAGGTGAGGAGGGAAATTAATATAAGACATGATCATGTTAGGTTTATCACCAACTACCTACAAGGTGTAGAATCGGGTCGTCTTACTCATATTCCCTTTAAACTCCAACTGAAGTGGGCAGAAGGGGTGTTCATCAGCATCATACACGCTGGTGTACTTGTTTTAAATTGTGTAATATGTGACTTGCGTAATAACTGTTACCATAGACAATTTCCTGATATGGTCAGGAAAAGGTAATGCCAGCTCCAGGTATGCCTAGTGGAGATGGAAGTGTTAAAATCCCTGTATAGATAACAGGGAGATCTCGCTCAGAATGATGTGTGCAGTTATTCTCACTGTGTGGAAAAGAAATTGAAAAACTTGTAGGGAAGATGTTTGGGGAAATAGTCTGTTTATAAGGAAGCATTTGAGAAGTTGGCTTATTTAGCTAGTAGAACAAAGCAGAGAGAAGATGTGGTTGCTTTCTGTAAATACCCCAGCATAAACACCACTGGGAGAAGAAACTAATAAGCTAATGGACAATGCTGGCACATGAACACTGCCATCAGCTGACCGCTAATTTCTTCTGAAAATTAGAAGGCAATTTCTAACCATTAGGAGTGAGTTTCTGGAAGAAAAGCCCAATAAAAGTGTATGTGCAGGAACAATTGGCTTTGACGTGGAACTGGATAACGTCATTTCTCTCCCAGAAACTGTTTGCCTGGGATAGTTAGAATGGGACTCAGCCATCCAGCATCATTCCTACTGTATTTCTATGCTAAGAATATAATACATGGGAACACTGTGTAGTATAAAATATCAAAATGAGGTGGTTTGATAAGGAAAGCAAAATTAAAATTAATGATACAATCTGAGTGGCTGTTAAAGCTGTTTCAGTTCATAATTGTATTCAAAGAGTGATACTTGCTCAGACTGGCAGAATTGCAGAAAGCATGAGGAGTCTTAGGCACCTGCTGACATTGCAAGCTGTTCTTGTGTCCATGCTCAAGAGGAGCTGCAGTGACCCAATTAAGTAGAGGAAATAGCTGACTTCAAGGAGGAAAGTCTAATATTTCCCCTTTTAATTGGGACATATTAATCTGGCGCTGGAAACCATTCTGAACGTAAGCAGCATGGGATTCAGACAAGGTAAGGAAAAAAAACTTGGCAGAGGAATTAAAATGATCAGTTTATTGTTAAATGACTTAAAGCTGTGCTTTGAAATATGCACTGCACAACAAAAATATGTTTGAGGGGAATACTTAACAGGTATATGATGCAACCTGTTAGGAAAAGGAAGTTATGTATGTAGGTTGCTTTCCTTGTTGAGAGAAGTTTTCAGCTGCTGCCAAAGCTAATGCTGGGTAATAGCAGGACTGAGGTGTGCAAAGGGAGTTGACAACTTTTGCCTCCTAAGAACTTGTTGTTTGTAATGCATCCCAGTGAATACAAATATGATGTCATCTAAAACTGTGGCCTAAACTTGCGAAAATAGCATTGAAGACCTTATTTGCCAAAGAAAGAGGAAAGCTATGGCAGTTTGCCAGGTGGTGATGATGCAATTAGGTGCCCTGTCCCCTGCACTAAGTTTATTATGGTTTAGCATCTTCTGTGCTGGCAAAGCTGTTCAGCTGTGTCAGGGCAGCTGACACCGAACAGTGCTGACCTGTCACCTAGGAAAGCAGAATCCTATTTGCATTCAGCATACGTGCTTGCCACCTACCTGCACTTGTGATCTTCATAAACAGAAGTGGTTAACAGAGCCACTCTGCTTTATGCAACTTCTGTAGCTTGGCCGGCTGTGTGCTGAGTCAGCTGGCAGAGGAAGCTGAAAAGCTGTTTATGTTGATGAAGTAGTCTCCACAAGGCCATGTTTGAAGCTAGCATTTGCTGCAATTTTCATTTTATGGAGGGTGTTTAAAAGGTGCTGCTCTGCCCTTACAGTCAGAGAAAATCCCATTTGTCAGAATTGTTTTGCATTATTTAAATAGAAGACGGTGTTCAGAGGGCTGCTGTGTGGTGCAGCAGCAGATGGGAGTATTTGCGCTGCTGGGCTAAGACTCACTGGGGGGTTTCTCATGTGATTGAAGTGTGTTTGGTGGACTCATTCCTCTGTTGTACCACACAATCTTTAATACTGTGTTGCAGTGTCTTAACTGTTAAATGATGTATGTTACCGAGCAAGTATTTCTGTTTTTTCAAAACAAGCATAGCCACGACTTTTTTTTTGTCACCTGAGTGTGCACTCTTTTGCTTTGACTGGCCTTGATTCACTGCTGAACTTTAAGGTTATTAGCCATTCTGCTCGAGGATCTTACTCGTCCTCTTTTTGCTCCATTTCCTTCTGTTACCTGTTCAGTACCTTATCTTCGTTAAGGGCATAAGATCATCCCGAGAGGCTCCTGTTGATGTGACTCAGGGGTGTGAATGTGTTTCATCCAGCAGCCTGCATCTTGATAGTGAGTTTTAAGTTATGCTTAAACTTGCATCTTTCAACTCAGCATTACAGGATATTGCAGCGAATCCTTGTGACGCTTTTCTTCCTGTAGGAACTGGACTTTAAACCTCCTGTCAATCTCATCAAGCATAGCTGACTCCTTCCAATTAGTTTGCTTGGCACTGGTGCTGTGATGAGTCAAGCTGAGCCGGAGAAGGGGGAGTGGATGGTGGCTCTAATTCTGAGGCCCAGCAATACCCCGGCAGCATTTTAGAGCAGTTTCAGGCTCTGGCCTAAAGTGGCCAGGAGTCACAGCAGCAGTGAGGGACTGCGGAAGGGCAGAGTGCTGTGGCTCAGCTAACATTTTTAAACTGTCCATCAGGGTGATGGTGGTCTTGTGGGGTTTTTTGGGTTTGGTTCTTTTTTCCATTCACAAATTTTTCTGCCCCAGTGGGGAACCTCTCTTCTGCAAAGGTATGAAGAGTGTAAAATGCAGGCAGAGTCTGCTGCCTGCCCTGTGTTTTGGACTTCTTCAGCAAAACAGATTTCAGTTGCATGATGTGGGGTTTTTGTTTGTTTTTTAGTTCTAGTGTTGTTACAAGGATGTGAAATCCAAACTGTCCCCGACTTTTGCAGTGACAGCCATGTATATTCTTCTGGAGGAGGAATGTTCTTCCATGTTGGGCAAAGGAGACTGAAATGTAAACAAGTAAAAGTTGAGTCTAATGTCTGTTCGAAGTGCTGGTGAATGTGGCAGCTCTGATCCTTTAGAAATATTAACACTTGGACAGTAGACCCATGACAGGAGTGGTGGTTTTGCCATTCTTTTCCTTCATGCTTCATTCCAGAAAATAAATGTTTATTGCAGGTGATTGTCAATGTATTATCTACATCTGGAGTCTGATTCTCATGTAATTTTTGTCTTATAGTTGTACTTATCGGAGACTCCGGAGTAGGCAAGAGTAACCTTCTGTCTCGATTCACTCGCAATGAGTTTAACTTGGAAAGCAAAAGCACCATTGGAGTAGAGTTTGCAACAAGAAGCATTCAAGTTGATGGGAAGACAATAAAGGCTCAGATATGGGACACAGCAGGGCAGGAGCGATACCGAGCTATAACATCAGCGTAAGTGATAGCTTGTATGGTCGAAGAAAAACTTTTGCTAAAGAGGGTAATTTTGGGCCCTTCCGATTCCTCAGAAACTGCAAATGGGGTGTCTTATCGTGTAATATCCACAACCTATGGGGGAAAGAAGCTTAAATATTATTCAGTCCAGACACTTGATACAGGATGTCCCTGCACAAACTGATTTACTTCTCAGTGCTCTCGTGATACGTAACTGGAGGCATTTCAAGCCTAGAATGCAAGAGCTTTGAGAGACTCATTTCAATGCAAGTGATTGATAAAGTAATACCAGTGTTCATGGAGGTTTTATCAGTGGTAACCTAAGACCAGAAATCCTCCTGTAGCAGTAAGGAAAGACTACTCACTTTGCTTGCTTATTTAATTGGAAAAAAATAGCATAGCAAAAGCTGGATTTAAGAAAAGCTGGAGGTAGTTGTGGGGTGGGAGAACACAGCCTGTTTCCTGTGCCTCTCTCTGGTCTGAAGGGAGACCAGCTGTGGCCTTTTGTAAAGGGAATAGATCAGGCTGACATTTTTATGATCCAGTGAGTCATTCTAAAGTCTCTCTATCACTATGGGCTGTGCCTGTACTGCACCCGCAGTGATGGGTGAGGGAGACTTTTTAGGAGTGGATCAGAGGTTGAAGGTGACAGTAGCTCCCCACAAATTTCCAGAGCTTCATTTTTGGGATGCAGGGTTCTCCCCACGAGCATGGGGCTTGGCTTACCCCCTAGACTCTGAGCTGCCCTGGCTGCTCTGGTGGTCCTGTGGCATAACCCTAGTCTGGATGCTCTACTTCACTGCTTTGAGTCCCACGTAGCCTGCTTCTGGATTTTTTTTTTGTATAGCTGTCTTAGTAATAGCTATTTCCCGTTATTGCACATAACTTGTCACTTTTAATCATGATGTTTTTTGCTGGTTCTCTTAACACATCTCTTCACCCACAGGTACTATCGTGGAGCTGTAGGGGCATTATTGGTGTATGACATTGCTAAGCACCTTACTTACGAGAATGTAGAGCGATGGTTGAAAGAGCTGAGAGACCATGCTGACAGCAATATTGTAATCATGCTTGTGGGAAATAAGAGTGACTTGCGCCACCTGAGAGCAGTCCCTACAGATGAGGCCAGAGCTTTTGCAGGTTGGTGAACTCAAAATAATTTCCTAATGCTGTCTGGGGATCTGCCTACCTGGTCTTAGATATGTGAATGTGCTGGTAGGAGGAAAAAGAGTGCTGCTGGTGATGTTCCTCAGTGTCACATACTGCTGTTTGCCTCTTTTTAATTCAGTCAAAAAGGAATCCTTGTAGAACATACATGCTGATGTGGTTTCAAGAATCAGCCAGAGGCACTTGAAGATTTCAAACCAGACTTTATTCTCTTGCCTATGCATTGCTTTTCTCACAGAAACTGTGCCTATGGCTTTAGGTTTGTGTTTCTTGTATGGTGGTAGCTTTGCACCTGTATATTGCCGCCTTTGTACCAACTGATCTGGAGCCCTGTGCAGATGCCTGTGGCTGAACAGACTTTCATTAAACCGGCTTTCTGACTCTTGTTACATAATTAAGATCTGTGAAAAATAATTCTACTTTCTGTAAATCTTGCCTTGTTTTAGGCCAAATTTCTTTCATCCAGGAGTGTAGCTGGGTTTCTTACATTAAGGCTTGCCGTAGCTGCATTTGAGGAGTTTATGGCCAGTGAGGATCCCTGCCTGCAGGTCGAGGACTGTCGTTCCCCCAATAGGGCTAGCCCTGTTAAATAAGCTGCCATGACAGGCCAGCAGGTGGGAGGTTGAGAAACTTGATGAGGTTGAAAATCCAGGAAGCTTCCTCACACAGTTCTTGAAAGCGCAACAAATTCTCACTTTCAGTGATGCAGGAAGATGTGCCTCAGAGTAACACAGCACTGGACTGATTCCTGTGCTTGAGGACGAGTGTAAATTCTAATGTTGGTGTTGGGTGGTATTGCTTTCAGATCACGTAAACCCACAACTTTTTATACTTTTTCTTGATACCCATGTGTCTCATCAGGAACACCACAAATATAATCTGGTACAGAAGTTCTTCCAGATGGGAAACAGATACATGATGTACCCCTCTAATTATAGTATTTCTGTCCACACAGAGAAGAATGGTTTGTCATTTATCGAGACATCTGCTTTAGACTCTACAAATGTGGAAGCAGCTTTCCAGACTATTCTGACAGGTGAGTCATCTAGTGCTTTGTGTTTCGAGGGGGAAGGGCAGAAGGCTGCTCAGATATGATGCACATAGGCGTTTCTTTGCCTATAAAGTGTTTAAAATTTTGCTATTTAATCATTCTGCACAGCCATAAGATTTGGAGTCCAGTTTCGAAGCGTGACAGTTGAAAGGCCAGTCTTGGACTTAGGAATGAATCCTTGTTCACTTTGATCTGCCCCAGGTTTCTAGTCAGCCTAGTTTATGTTTCAGTTTCCCATTTGTGTATGGCATAGGGAATGCCCACAGGAGAGAATTGTCTCATGCAAGCATGAAGTTAAAACAGGCATTGTTTATCAGAGGAGAAGTCAGTCTAGTTTGTTTCCATTTTTAATGGTGACCATAGCAGTTGCCAAGGCAAAACGGATGAAAGAGTAGAGATCCTTCCTTTGAACAGTACTAGTAGTCTGAGACGTGGTGACTCCTGAGCTGCAGGGTAGTCACTGTCATTGCATTTAATAGCCCTGGCTGGACTTTTGGCTCTGCAACATGTGATGGCAGTGAGTGCTGCATTTTTTATGCTCTGTGGATACAGTACTTCCTTTTTGTTTAAATTCTTTTTTAAATAGGCAAAACTTGTTAAGAGTCTGAGACATTCAACTACAACTACGTGGGGGACCTTAACTTAACCATGGCTTATAAAGGATAGGGTAGGAATTCACAGATCAGTGTGGAAATCACTAGCTGTCATGGGACTTCTGTATTGCTGTGTACCCCGTCAGCTGTAGCCAGGGCACAGTGGAACAACAGTGGTGTGTGTGGTTTTTGAGCTTTTGCCATTCCCAGCTGTGGCAAATGCCTCTCCAAATGTCTAGTCTAGGTCTTCAAAACAGCTGAGACTCTCCTCTGTTTTGGTATGTGTCTCTAGAGTTCAGGTGCACCAGGGAGTGTCTCTGTTTTCTCCAAGTGCCTCCAACATGTTTCCCAGTTGCAAGTTTAAACTCCCTCCATCTCAATGTAGTGTGTGCCAGGCTACATGATCTGCTTGGCATGAGCAGCGGCCCCACTTCTAAACTATGTGTCTCTATTAATCAGATCTCATTGCTGTGACATTGGCACCTCGTTAGTTTTGAATTTTTTTTCTTTGCCAGCTAATTTAGACATTCTTTTAAAAACACACCAAAAAGGACTTGTTAGCCATACTGGAACATGCAGATGAGGAGGCAACTAGAAAGTTATTTACTGTAATAAAAGTATAAATCCTGTAGCATTTTCCTGAGTTGTTTGAAATGCTATATGAACACCCTAGCAGTGGAGAGAGTTGTTAGGCTGCTGGAGTATTACCTGCCTGTGTCCATCTGTTTCTTGTCTTATCCTTAGTTGTAAGAGGCCTCAGATAGGTTCTGGTTCTGTTATGTTTCTTACAGTGGGTTCCTAAGCAGTAGCGCTCCTGTCCATATACTAGCAAAAAAGTAAGTGTGTCTGTTAGATGAATCAACAGTGCATAGGGATGCTTGTCATCTTGCTGCTTCATGCGATGCTGGGACTAGAACTTGAGTTTGTTCCCTCTTCAGGGGAACCATGTGGTTCCCTTTTAACTTCAGTGTAGTCATTTGGTTGTAATTCAATCTTGCACAAATTAAAAAAAAAAAAAGAGAGAAGTTGTGTTAGCTCATACATTTACTCCCTACATGACTAACTACTAATGCCATCAGAGGGTGGATGGCTAAGGAGTGGCTGAATGCGATGGTATCTGGTATGCCTGCTGGATTTCCTCTTTTCTTCACCTACCTTAAGGCAGTCCTGTCAAAAATGCTCATGAATTTGGACATGGATTTTTCAGGAGAAAGGCATTTTTATTTCCAGTTAATTAACTTCCATGCTCGTTCAGCACCAGCACTAATAAAACAGAACTGGAAATATGTCAGACACTGTTTATCCCCTCCCAAGGTGGCTGTCAGGCTGTCATGGCCGATATAAACTGGTCACCTAATTGCCCCCATCTCCCGTTGGACTGTTCTGTTCTCTAACAGTGATGGCTGAAGAGGTAGAAAGTTTCCTGCGTGCCCTGGGCTGCTGCCTTACTTCACGGAGCTGTGTGACACTCAGACGATATACTGCCATTGCCATGGGGAAGCAGTTCACCTCTTGGGCACAGGCTAGGCCGTTTCTTTATCTCTCCTCGCATGCTTCCAACCTTTTATTCCAGAAGTTATTTTGGATTCTAATTTGCGGAGGTTTGATTTTTTTTTTCTAGTTTAATTTTTCTGTAAGGGAGAGCAGTCTGTAATGGGAGAATGAGTGATTAAAACTTGCCCTCGGTGGACTCTGACAGATTGTTGAGGCTGTTGCTTTTCCACAAATGTCAATGTTCCCTGCATGTTGCTCTGACAGTGTTTTCAGTAAAGAGCTCTTGGGTATGCTGACAGGATCTTTGTTCAGGAGGGGCTGGTTCAACTGTACTGGAAGAAACACTTTTGCTGATTAGTGGGCATGTGGCTTGCTCCAGACAGGAGCTCCTGTTTCAGGGAGATAAAGATGAAGTAAATAATGCATTAGCAGCAGGTTGGCTCCATCTCAGCTGTGACTGGCATGCGAAGGACAAATGTTCTGCCAATGAACTTCTTGATAACACTTCACAGCTGGCTTTTTCTGTTAATGATTTGCTTTGAAGGAAAGAGGGGAGCAGTCTTTTGGGGAATGTGGTTTTCAGAGTGACCCTGCAGAATCATGTATAGTCTGTATTTGGCAAGGCTGCCTCCAAGCATAGTGCCTGCGGGTGGAATGCTCATTGTCCTTTGAAGGAAGTTGGTAAAGCCAACAGGCTTTGCCACAGGCTGTAAGTGGAGGTGGCTGACAGAAGAAGGGGCAGGGTATGCTGCTGCACCAGCTCTGCTAGTATTTGCAGTGCTGGGAACTGCACTGCAGACGCATCCCAGGCGGCTCCCGATACCTTTCACAGAGCTGCTTAGATCTCTCCTGAACAGGGTGTTGCGACTAAGGTCTGTAGCAAAAATCCTTTCTTCCCCAGCCCTACTGAAGCTGGTCTGGTTGGGACAGTGATGGAACCTTGTAAGAGTACTTCCCTTGGAGGTGTAGCAGGGTCCATGTTAAACTTCTCCGCACCTAGATTCTCAGATTAAGCTACTTTGAATAGATGGCTTGGGGCATGGGAAATATGAATCCATTACAGTTAGCACAGCCTAAGTGAGTATGTGATCTGCTGTTGTTACAGGTGGAAGAAGGGGAGACAGCTTTGCCTTCCTCTCCCTGTATTATAGAGGACTTTTAGAGGGGGGTATATCTTACATCTAGTGGGCTTCCTGTGGATACCAGATGAGGTTTTGGGGACCTTTTCCTTCTGTGGCTTAGAGTAATGGTCCCTGTCCAAATTCTTCTGTTGCAAGATGTCTAGACTTCAAGGGCTGATTGTTGTGCACACAAAGCTGCTTTGTATCTCTGGCAAATAGGAGAGACTGGTATTATAATCCTATCCACTCTGAGCATTCACAGCAGGGTAAAGCATCCTTAAAGTAAACTGGAGTCTGCCTCCATTCCCTGCCTGGCTCTGTGCCGTCTCTGTTCCTGTACTGCGTTCTGCTCCGGTTTCATCTCTAAGGAATCCCATCTCCAAGGAAACAACATCACAGAGCATTAACGTCAAAAATTCTAGGGATTTCTTCTTTTGTTAGCTCTGTACACCTGAAAATGAATGAAACACTAGTGCAGGCTGAGCAGACAAGGACCAGACAAGCTCCTCCTAGGCAGCAGTGTCACTTTTTCCCAGCCGTCTTACAGTGCAAGGCCTGTCTCACACAGTTACCAATTATGCAGTGATGCATTCTGCTGAATGTGCTCTTAATAAGGTCTCATTCAGTTACTGAGCAGAGCATAAAGCATAGTGTCTTCATTAAAAAGCCCATGTCTTCATTAGCCTGGCATTCCTCAGTGCAGACTAGTTTCAGTGTAGGCTTTGCTGCTGGGTGTTTTGCCCTGGTGAGAGCAGGTTTAAGCTGTTCCCACCTCCCCTTTCACAGCAGCACAGCTGTGTGGGATGAAAGAGTGTGCAGCTGATCCAGGGAAAGGCAGGTTTTAGACATTTAGGCTTTCATCTAGGGCAGTACGCTGCGGCTGCACAAAGGTTTGCACTGCAGAGGAGGGAGAAGCGGCAGTGAGCAGCAAACTTGGCACTGCTGCAAGTTGATTCAAGCAGCACAAGCTGCTAAATGTCCTTGCAGGACTGATGGGGAGGCCGTGGAAGTGGGGATCATGGAAATATGTTCCCAGAGACAGAAGGGCTAGACCCTTTATCAGCAGAGAAATCAATGCTGTTAAGATTGTTTTAAGGCTTCAGGGCTGTTTACTGAAGATCTTTGCTGTAAGATGAGGGTGTTATACAGAGGGCACCCTGGTTGCCAGTCCTTGCTTGGTGAAGGAAGCGTGTGACAGCTCGTGTTAGGGACTAGTATGAACTTGTTCAGGCAGTTCTTTGGAAGACTGAGAATTGCTGCTGCCGAAGGTGCTACTAGAGAGTTTCCAGTAAGGAAGGTGGCAAGAGCCTTCTCCTGTTGAATAGGAACGGACAGTGTTCTGCACTTGGAGGTAAACTGACTGTCTACCCTGAGCTGGGGCAGAGTAGGGGAGCAGAAAGCTTGTCCTGAAGAATGCAGAGCAGATCTCTTCTGCACGCAGGCACTCTGCTCAACATGGAGTGGCCTGCCACAGGGCGAAGCTGATCTTTGTCTGCAAATTCCCACATGGGGTTGCAGGTGGCTTTAAAGATCTGATTTCATGGGACTCACTTAACTTCTGAAGTTGTTTATGTGTAAGGCTGTTGGAAAGAAGGCTGAACTTGAGAAAGGGTGAAATCAGAAAATCCTTTTACGTGTGCAGCTCTTGTTTGGTTGCCTCAGTGACTTGATCTGTAACTGAATGCGTATGTAAAATCCATTTTTCTGAACGCTTTATCCCTATCTGAGTCTGAGCTGTCAGTTTGGAGGCCCAACAGGTAGATTCTTTCAAAGCGCCGCTTGCAAGGGTTGATGTTACTTGTACAGTCCATAGATAGAGCACAGCATCTACGTGAGAGATTATTTTGCCAGCAGTCCTGTGGATGCGTGCAGCCCTGCTCTTACTCTTCCTGGGGAGCACTTGGCCTCTGTTTGTGTTGGCAGCTTAAATCAGTGCAGGCTTGTTGCATTGAGGGCAAGGTTTTCAAGCCTTGTTTGTCAGGGACCCTTTCTAGCTCCTCAATGCCATCTCTTCTCATTGTCGTAAAAGCAGGCGCTTAGCTGTGTGATCAGCCCTTGGCAGCAAAGGGGACCTCTGCACAAGGTTGCTCGATTCCCAGTACTGAAATGATGTCAGGATGTGCGCTAAGCAGCAGCTCATTAAAATTCTGAACAAAGGCTACTCGCTAATGACAAATTTCTGGTGGAAAAGATGTGTCTTGGTTTGGGGTCAGGTGAGGTGTGTGTTTGGACAGTCGTTATCCAGCTGATAAGAGACTTCAGAAGTCCGAAAGAACTTGGACCTTTGCTTTGGTTTGCCAGAGTTGTTTGCGAGCTGTGCTCTTCCCTGCTTTGCTCTGCTGGAGGAGTGAAGTGCTGACACCCTCGTCTTCTGCAGCCTGGCCTTATCCGAAACCTTACGGTGGGGCAGTGAGCTGGAGCATGCAAATTGGGTGTGGGCATCAACTCCCTGCTCTCAGGGGCTCCGCTGCTTGGCGGTGCCGTGTATTTTTTGCCAGCACGCTTTTCTGTTGTGCAAGGTAGAAGATGTGATCTTGTCATTTTACGGTCGGCTTTTTGCTGATTCCGAAACACTTTCAAACTTTTTGTTAAACTGAGGTTTAGCAAGCCTTTTTTTTTTTTTTTTTTTTTAAATTCAATGGTTCATAACTTGAATTTGCAAGTGAGTTCCCCATGTGCTATTTTTGGTATCCTTTATTTCCTTTTTGGGGGTGAAGTGCTACACATCCGTACTTTTTTCTGCGTAACTGAAATAAATGCTTTTGTAGCTACTCTGAGTTTATGTACAGCACGTGCCATCGGCCACTAACAAATCCCAGGAAACTGGGCAAGGCTTTCAGGGCAGGTGTGCAGCGTTCCCCACCTGGCAGCGTGCTGGGAAAGGCACAGGAGTTTAACCCGTGCTCTCCAGTTTATGCTGGAATTTCTTTGTCTGGGGTCCATATTTCTCTGTAGTTTTGAAGTTTACCTGCACTAACACAGTGACTTTTGTAAAGGGCTTGTGTTCTGCGTAAGGGGCCGGGTCTCCTCTTTTGGGCCCCAATCAACCTTTTCTGAAGACTTAAAACCGCTTGGATGATAGCCAGGCTATTGTATGTGATGGGCATGCTGAGAGAGAAGAAACTGCCCTTGCAGTCCTGTCAGAGGTAGACATTTTGAGTGGTTCTTTTCAATCCCGCTGTTGTCTGCGGATACGTCAGCAAACATGCAGCCACTGTCCCTGGAGCCTTAGGAACCGTCAGAAAGAATGATGGGGTACATGGTTTCTGATTCCTAGCAAAAAAAAAATGGTGAATTCTGTCCATTTACTAACTCTTATCTCAAGGGGAGTAGAACAGTTTTTAAAAGATAAATTTCTTTTGCAAAAATATAAATATTTTATTTTCTGAATATAGAAAGCATCACAGTTGAACTTCATGTGAACACTTCTGTGCATTACCTATATATTTCCAAAACTATGGGAAATCTTTGTATATTTTATGCCTGGTTTCCCCCAGACTTAACTTTCTGATGGTGTATTGCTGGTGTACGCATAATAACTAGCTCTTTCTCATCTTCCAGAGATCTATCGTATTGTTTCCCAGAAGCAAATGTCCGACAGACGTGAAAACGATATGTCTCCAAGCAACAACGTGGTTCCCATTCACGTCCCTCCAACCACTGAAAACAAACCAAAGATGCAGTGCTGTCAGAATATATAGAATTGTTCATTCTTTCCTAAAAGGCTGTGTATATTCCCCAGGTCCAAGATTTAAATATATTTGTAATTCTCGTGGTTACTTTCTTGTGTTTAGTTACTGCTTATTCCTCCTGAATTTCTCCATGTCTTAAACACTTTGATTTCAGTGTTTATAAATCTATTGCTTCTGTGTGGCTGCAGTATTTTCCCAACACCAACTTGTCCATTTTGGTTCAGTAAATTGTTTGGAACTGATCTGATCTCTTCCCAACATGGTGCCCGCTAGTCAGAGCACAGACACCTTTAGTGAGCACTTGAAGACGTTATTCTGCTCCTCGCAAAACAATTACTGTCAGGTTAACTAGGAAAATATCTCTGGGCAGGGTAATCTTTCCTTGTCTTAAGGTGTTGTATACTGCATCTAAAGCTTGATGAAATGCCCATTGCTCTGAAGTGCAATTTTAATATAAGTTAATGTTTCTGGCTACATCTTCAGATTGTCACGTTGAGGGTTTTTTTTTAATAGAATATTATGGGGGAGAAAAGAGAATTTCTTGCAAACAAGCAGCAGGGTTCTTGCTACCTGTGAATGAGCTTTTGTGGTTTGGCACCTGCTGCAGAGGAGGTTGTGATGTGAGGCAGAGCTGCTGGGAGGCTGGCCGGGGAGATGCTGGTGGGACTCTGGTTGAGGTGTCTCTTGTGAAGAAAGCAAAAGCACGAGCTGCGTAACTGATGAAGGGTCGCTCTGACGCTGGAACTTGCAGCATGTTTTTGTGCTGCCCGAGACTTGGCCTCCACAGAGCTGGTGGTATCAGGATTTGAGGATGCCTTTTTTCTTTCATGGCACACCGACTTGAAGGGTGTTGTCACGTATTACATATCACATTTATTAATACGTGCCACGTATATTAATATATTCAAATGCTTGAGTCGATGAATCAATGACTTCCACAACCTGGTCTTAGTTTTCAGTTCTGTTTCATCTGGTGTTTTTAAATTATTCCTATGGTTTGGTGTATGTTCTCTAACAAAAGCATCTGGAGTAGTTTTTTTACTGGGTGCCTTCCTTCTGTGGTCTGTCGCTCAGTACAAATCATCTGTTGGATTAGCTTGTTCAGGGATACATGAACTGTGCCTTCTGTCACTGCACTCTGAAACCACGGCATGTCACTCCGTATGTGCTATTCCCAAACACGTCATTAATACTGAGATTTGGGGGCTATAGGCACTGAATTTCTACAGTATTTAAAAGAACTGTTTGTTGTATAAATGCCTGCAGTTATTTATACAACTGCAGGGAAGTAATTGATTGTAGGGGATGTTTCTCAAACTCTGATATGACCCGTTTGGAACATCCAAATCTGGGGAGGCACTACCAGCTGCGTTTCGTACCCAACCTTTCTGTCTTGCGGTGCTCATGATGTGTAAGGCACACGGAAGGCATTGCTGTAGTCGGTCGCTTGGTTTTTTTAGTCCATTTCTCCTCCTAATATTAGTTCTGAAGATGCGATTTTGATCTGTTTGTAAATTACTTTGTATTTTATGCATGTACTGTACCTTGATTCATTATTTTTTTAGATTGATTTAAAATATATTCATCCATGATTCTAATAAAGAATTACAGGGGACGACTCAGTATGGTGTTGGGTGCACTTTTTGGGATAACTGGGATTTGACCTGAAGGTTTTTACTTACTGGAAGCTAGTAAGCTTCTTGGAACAGCCTGCGAGAAGACACTGAAGTGGAAGTACCCCCAGAAAAGGAAGTGAAAGGGTCATGTAACACAGTTAACTGCCGCCTTCACTCAGACCAGGCCTGCAGCTTTTTGGGGCTGCTGCAGTTCATAGCCATGACAGTTTGGCAGCTTCAGGAAGCTTTTATGCTCTGAAAAGTCTGTGGGTTCACTCTAGTCACACTTCTGAATAGCTTTTACAAACTGGGGTTTTTTTCCCACGTTGCCACCAGTAAGAACATCCTGTGGGACAGCAAACTACCGCCTTCTACAGCAAATTATTTGAGCTTTTTTTTATCCTAGTTTGGTGTCCTGCTGAAGAAGTGGTGCACGGGAGAGCCAGGCTGCCAGCGAGCGTTGCGCGTGGTGTCCCTGGCTGCCTGCTGCAGGCAGCAGTCACCCACAGAACGTGTGGGGCAGCACTGCTGGCTGCGGGGACAAAGGCAATTTAGGGCCTTCTAGCATTGCAGGAGAGTGAGGATGAGGTGTAAGACTGGGCCCTTGCTTACTGTGGGAACTGTTCTCGGAGCACTTTCTCTGGCCGGACCGGAGCATATTTTGGAATTAACCAAATTACCGGGGCAACCAAGTTCTAAATTTGTCAACTGGAAATGCAGGATGAGTTTCACTTCGCTTCCTTTCTGATTCACGTAAGCAGGCAGCTTGACTCAGCTGTCACGTCAGCTTTGGATTTTGCATGGTTTTATGCAAGATGTTCCTTCTGCAGCAAATGCAATCGGAGCACAAATCGCTGTCAGAAGCCGAGGCTGCCCCTGCCCTGCGCAGAGTTTGCGTGTCTGCACGTGCTTCTTCCTTCGCCTCGCAATAAACAGTGCCGTGTTTAAGTCCTGGGCAGCTGTGAAATGGCTGCGTGTGCTGTTAGCAAAATAAGAACTCTGATAATTTTTTTTTTCCCCCCACCAGAACTTTAAAATTAATAATTATAAAACAGGCCTTAGAAATGCTGTGCAAAAACTGATTCTGTACTTATGAACTGCTGCAACACGGAACATCATAAAATTTTCATGCAATAGTTTGTAAAGCCTTCGTGAGCTATCAACTTGTAAAGCAAAATCAAACGGTGTATCTACAGAGACTAACTTCTTGCCTATTAAAGCCTTTGCCTCGTGTCGTGTGGTTTTGTACTGCTTTTTCCTGGCTAAGCACCGCGGTGCTATGGCAGCGGATCCTGGCTGGCCCCGGCCTGGGTGAGACTCCTGGGACAAGAAGGTACTTCACAGAGCGCTTTTGGAGAGACAATGCAAGACGTTATTCCCTCTGAACACTGACCCGACGGGGTATTGTTCCCGTTCAGCTGCTGATTAATCATTCTCTTCTGTAGTTGCGTTACTTCTGGACTGAAGTGTCTCTTCTCTGCTAATAGGACACAACTGGTTGCAACAGATACTGCTTTTGGGTCCTGAAATGAGCCTTCAGAGTTCCTGGGAGCTCTGTATAATGCTGCAAAATTGGCTTTACTTGCCACAAGCTTTTGCTATCATTTGCATATTTGAAAGTCCCGGCCTTAACAATTACGATGCTGTTCAGTGAGCGTCAGTGGTTCTTGTGTTTGATGGGAGTTGAGGTTCTGACTCTTGAGCAGAAAGGACATGGAATTGTTCTGATTTAAAGACATTTTTATTAAGCTAGAATTACTTATTCTATCAGTTCAAACCTGATGAATTTCCAGACTTAAATAGCTTTGAGCGTGGCTTGTCAAATAAGATTACATGCTGGGCTTTAGTTAACAAGATTTTTGGAAATATGAAGCACAAATATTGAAAAAGCTTCAACACGTAGCAGTCCGCTGCGTTGCCTGGGAGTCATTAATTCTGAAGGTGTTTCTGCTGCAAATCTGCACTCGTGATTTATTGGTTAGACTCCCTGGGAGCACCGTCAAAACTGCTGGGACGGCTGCCGTGTGCCCGGTCTCATCACTGCTGGGTGCAGTAGGGTAACTGTGCTGGCCTGTATCCTCCAGTGCCCACCTGAAGGCACAATAACCCACTGGTGTCACCGAGCACTGTCACAACACGCACTGAAATGCATCGCATGAAAATCAAAGAGAGACCTGGCGTTGGCACTCGCCCCAGATTGCTCTTTGTAGGTGTGCGGGAGCGTGTCCGGCTGGGTTTGTGCTTCACCGGGGTCTCTCGCCCAGACCCGCTAAGGGTTAAACTGCTGGGGAAGGAGAGCTACTAGAGGAGTTGTAAAACACACACAGAGCCAGTTACCTTTTGTTTTAAAGCTGGGCCTTACTTTAAATTAACTCCAAATTACAGTCTGAATTACGGCATTGTGTTTTCTGAGAAATCCTGCAACAGAGAAACCAGCTTCTGGCTTGTAAGCCTGACGCCTGGGGGTTTTTTTCATTGAGGTGGACAGCCCCTTCGTGACCAGCCCCATCGCCTGCAGAACTCAGACCTGAACACGGGCTGGAAGTTTTAGTCTGCAAATGAGTATGTTTGAGAAATACACATTGAGAGAAATTCAATTTATTTTGTACAAGGTAGAATACCTTTGCACAGTGAACAAATATATTACAAATCTGTCTTGCCTTAAAAAAGTATTGCCATTTTGGGTCCTATTTCCTAAGCTAATGCTAATATACAAGAAGGTACTTCTTTTCTTCGTTTTGTTTGTTTGTTTGTTTGTTTCCTGTTAAGCTCTATGCACATTGTTGCATTTGGTTTGAAAATCCAGCTTTGAAAAAAAACCAAACTGAGCACATCTCTGCTCTCTGGAGTCTCATCGCAAACTTCACAGCAACACACACACAAACATTGGTCAGGCTGGCAGCTGAGACTGCTTGTGCTAGGTGTCAAGGTAGGTCTTTAACAAGAGTATTCCTTATCGAACTGCCTTTCTCTTGATATTTTTGAGGTAAGTCTTTCTATTCATGTACATAAAATATATTCCTACTGGCCCTACAAAATAATTGTCTACTTACATCTCAAATAAGGCTTTCCTGGAAAATAAAATTACTATTGCTGATCAGTCATTGCCCCCATGCACACATGCAGCATTCACGTAACTACTTATGCATTATCCTGCAACATGAAAATCTGCTGCTCTGGAAGCCTGGGGGATCTCTGGGCTCGGCTCGGCTGTCTCACTGCAAAACTCTTGGTTTGCACAGAGGAGTTCAGAGCCAACCCGACCGCCCGGCGGGGTCCCAGCTCCTCCAGCAGCACATCGCCGGGGCTCCCCACGCCCTGACGCGAGCGTGTTGCGGCAGCGAGCCCAGGGGTGCCGTGCAGGCTGCCAGCGGCTCGGTACCACCGTGCCAGGGGCTCCGATCCCCGAGGCGAGGGCTGAGCCTGTCTGCGGGGACACGGGCTGGGTCCTCCGAGTGATCTGACGCCTGGTCTGACTCAGAGCCGGGATCAAGCCGCTGCCTCCGAGCTGGAAGGCTCCTCTTACCGGTCCCCTAGACTAGCAGGTTACGCGAGCGATCATGCTTTGAGCAACTGATTGGTGCTGGTTTCGTTCTCTTCTACTTCCATCAGACTGGCGAATGTGCAACAGAATTTTTTTTTTATATTTAAGAGGCAATCAACTTGCTACTTCCACATTTGCCTAATAAAATTACATACTTAGAATCAATACTATTTCATGCTCAAAATCTACAAGGAACTGCTTAACGGCAAGTATTCTACTTTCTAGGTCAATAAAGATTACCAGGAAAAAAAAAAATCATGGTGGCTTAGTCCCAAACTTTACCATGGGCCAACCCCTTGATAATTACTTCACAAACAGCTGCTGAAAAAGAAAACCCAGTTTCAGCTCAATTTAATGACATTTCAGGTAGAATCATCAATGGATAAAGTTGCACTACATGGTAATGCACATCAAATTAAAGGGTGTCATAAATGGCATGCTGTTAAGTGAATCATGATGAGATGGTTTGTAAAGACGGTCTAGAGAAGCCGACGTGTCTTAGCTTTAGGAAAGGAAGCCAAACCAGGGTTAGTCTGTGCAAACCTGCAGCGTCCCAGGGCAGTAAATGAAGGTCCATCAATTTGCATTGCCTGGCAAATCTGGTGGATTTATCTAACAAAACAGAAGCTGTATAAGGAAAATTAAAGCCTATCTGTGCCAATCAAAGTATTTTATAGCTTGTTAAAAGTGTGGTAAGCTGGGTGTGAGATTTACTGTTGAAACTCAAGTCATTAGCAAAGATCACTGGACATTTGCCAAGATGTTACATTTTAAAAACTGCACAGCATGTGTCTGTGTTGATATTCCTCTACTCAAATACCCTGGGACTGAATATAAAGATGAACATCTCAGTGCTAATTACCAAGCATGATCTGCACAGGTTGCACATGGTGATGGCAGTAAATGAGGTTTCCAGACAGTGAAATGATGTTTCCCTGCTTTCGTTCAGAAAAATGTCCATTTCCATGACAAAGATGTAAAATACATTCCAGCATATTCCTAGTCACCTTGTTCCTAACAATAAAAGGTTTCTTGATGCAGTTGGTAGAAATGTACATCTATAAGTCCTTCTACTTAGCATGTTTTCGTGGTTTATTTTACAGCAAAGCCAGGGTTAGAATACATGCCACGGAGAGTTTTTGCCTCGAGCATGTAGACACCTTCCTGGGGTGACGTACTCCAGTCATGCGTGGAAGAGGTTGTCCTTAGTCCCTGTTACCCATATAAAAATGTCTTTATAAATAACATCATCCAGCAGCAGTTGGCCCAAGCTGATGTTGTGTTGTGTTAGGTCCTTGTGTAAGACAGTCTGAAGTCCTGTCAGCATCCTGCAGCGCAGAAAAGGATTGTCTTCTCTTTTGCTTCCTCAAAGTTTGTATTTGCAGCACAGTGAAGTTCATCCGTTTAAGACTGCTTGTCCCAAGATGGCCCGTGCGTCGGGCTGTGCCTTACGGGGAGGAGGTCATAGTGACTAGGAATGTGACTGTTCCTAGGCAGGTCGTATGGATTTTGGAGGTAACTGGCACTCCGACCGCGGGCGTCTTGGACCACGCTGACAGTGGGCTCTGGGGAAGCAAGGAAAACTGGGTTACAGTAACCAGCAGTGCTCCCAAAACTAATAACTACTCACGTATTTTGTCACAAGCACAGAACATCAGCTTCCCAAACCATCTCTTCCCCTTGCAGCTTTACTGGCAGCACATGGGGCAGACCAGGGAGAAAAACACCAAACAGATCCAAGGGCAGGTAGTTCCCAAAGCCCCGCAGATAATGTCTTCAAAAGACCAACACTTGCATTTTCAAAATCTTGCGGCTGGGCTTTGCAGCAGTTTAAAACAAGAGCATAAAGAGGGAACTGCAACCCTCCTCTGCCGGGGCTGGAGGAGCAATTCAGTGCCATAGCACACTCACATCCACCACCGTGGCACAGGCCCCCGCCCGGGACTTAGCTGCCCAAATCAACATGCTAATGCACAGGCCTTCTCCCTCCAGCCAGCGCCTCCCTGCACCGCGCCAAGTCCATGCTACTTGTGTCAGGAAAGAAAAAGAAAAAAAATCAGCATCTACGATAAAAACACCAATTGTTGGAATAGATCTTCTGCTGCCCACCCCGCTTACCAACTTCATAGATGTTTTTATTGGCTGTCGATGAAGTTGGCATTTCTGAATATGGGGACTCCCTGTGACCAGGCGATTTCATTTCCACGTAGCTGCTCTCGGAGTGTTTGCATGTTAAAATGGGGGGGTCTTTAATGGTGGCATATGGGTTTTCACTGCTGTTCAGAGAACAAGTGCTGGAGCTGCACACAGATTCTTTCATATAATCTGCAAAACAAGAGCGGAGTGGGAGTGTTAGAGTTGTTAGCTTGCTTAGGTTAATTACAACTGAACCTCTGCAGGAAGGGTGGGGGGACATAGGGGGCAGGGGGTAAGGAAGATCCTTGAAGCATCCAGCACAGACACCCGACACTTGTGCTCTGGGTGTGTCCAGCCCATTGCATCCACAACTCACTAGCAGGAAAGAAAGAAAAACCTGCTCGATACCGAAGGTTTTCCTGTAAAAGGTTCTAGTTGTCATTTACTGCAATATTTAATTTGAGGTGGCAATCCTTTCCCTCCCTCCCCCTAATTCCTAAGGAGCTATGTTTTAATCCCGCTCCGCCTGCCCTGCCAGCCCGCAGACCCATGCACATGGCTGTGGTGAGTCGGCTCTGCAGGCAGGACCTTCTGCTGGTACTTGGCCTGCTGGACCAGCTACAGGGTTAGTGTCCCGAGGGCTTTGGTCAACATCAAATGCTGTATATTTGAATGCAAGACATTTCCAGCAGGCTTAGAACTGCCCCAGTGCAGCGTATGCGCGTATGTCCCCTGAGAGTTCCGGTTTCTGGGGCTATCCAGCACAAGGAGAAACCGACTTCTTCATATTCCCTCTGCCATTAAGACTGGGAGGAAGCTTCTCCTGCTAGCGGGGAACGCTTGGGTTTCCGCAGGGGGGACAAGCCTCCATCTGAGCCTCGCTTTTGCTTTGCTTTTTTTTTTTTTTCCCCTCCATTGCTGTAGACATCTACTTCTCCTCTCCCCTAGGCTGGAGAAAACAGGAGATGGTGACGGAGGAGGCGCTACATGGGGAGAACAAGGTTGGCGTTAGAGTTGCAACCACCAGTCTCCCCTGTCGGTGACCCTGGCTGGGGTATGCCAGCCTGCTGCAAGGTACAGTGCCAGTCTTGCTTTAAAAATAAAAAACAATAGAGAATAAATAGGTCTTAACATTGACATTCAAGAACGTGCCATTGCTGCTGTGTGCATCCTGCTGGGCAGTGCCATTAATTTAGAATTAGAGCGATGCAATGAAAGATGAGGCATTTTCTTGTGCTGGGTTACAGTACAAAGGCAGATCCTGGTATATATGAAATACTCCCGGTGAAATAGCGGGACTTGCAAAATAGCTGCAATCCCAGCTGCCCCCGCTATCTAGTATGGGAGACAAAAAGAGAAATTCAGGTTAAGAAATAGACAGACAACACGATATCGCTTTTCCTTTACAAACCTCGTCTCTGCCTATGAAATACTCCCGGTGAAATAGCGGGACTTGCAAAATAGCTGCAATCCCAGCTGCCCCCGCTATCTAGTATGGGAGACAAAAAGAGAAATTCAGGTTAAGAAATAGACAGACAACACGATATCGCTTTTCCTTTACAAACCTCGTCTCTGTGCCTATCTGCCCCGTCCTGCTAACTCACTTGTCAGGTCCGCTTCACTCTGTGGTGCAATGCTCCCTCCATCAGCTCTGGGGTTGTGTCTGTGTGTGTGTGTCCATCAGCCCCCGGGCCTGGTGCCCTTTGTCTTGGCTCAGCTAGGGGATAGCACTGAGCAGGCGTCCAGAGCAAGGTGTCAGGTCACGCCCTGCGGCCTGCAGCAAGCGATTGCATTTGTGTGCTCCAATTTCAGTGATACAAGCAAATCTTGAGAGTCCTCAGCTCTCAGGGTTACTGAAACCAGCTTGGTAGGAAGCTCTACTGCAAAGCAAACCAGCTGGACCATGCTGGGACCATCAGGGGTGTAAGGGCTGGCAGAGGCCCTGGCACCACTGCAATGTTTATTTAGTAATAAAATTAAGAAACTCCTCATCTGGCTTCAGCCTGGGTGAGATTAACAATGACTTTGCTTCAAAGTGAAACACGTCTGTTTTGGTACATCACAGGAGACAGGAACCAAAGCAACACAAATAAAATAAAAGCTGGCAGCAGGGTTTGGCCCTCCAGCTTTACCAACCCTATCCTGGTACAGGCAAGTCAGTGAAAAGCTGTCCCGGCCTGTCCTTTTAATGAGCGATGGAGCAACCCTGCAAGACCAAAGGCTTTTGTGCATGAGTGAGCTCAGTGCTACTAGCTTTTGCTATGTATATATATTAAGGTGCCACACAGTCTAGGATCCATTATTGTTTATAGGTGAGGAGGCAATAGACAAAGACTAACAAATCCTGTAATAAAATAAAAATCTTTAGGCTAAAAATACCTGTGCTATATGGACTGGGCCCCATTCTTCAGTCACTGGGAGGGGTGCACATGGGTAAACTGTGGGCAAGGACCTGAAAGCTCCCGGTGGTGCTTGAGCCAACACCGGTGCAGGAGCACTCACTGCTTCAGGGACATGGCCCTGATGAGGGAGAGAGACTCAGCCCCGAGGCTTTTATGTCATTCTTAGCCAAAGAAAGGCTCAGCTCTACCTGCCAGCAAGTTACAGCTTCTGGTGGCTACTACAAGTACGTAGTGCTCGTTAGGAGAGCCTAGGCAGCTTTTAATAAGCCAGCTCTAAATTTTGGGGTGAGAGGACAGGAAGACTGTCACAAACTTGCTTCTCTGCCTCAAGCCATGCTGCTGAGGAGATGCTCACGGGGGCGAAAGGCAGGAGCTCACAAAAGTGGGCAGCGTGAATAGGTGTGTGCGGCTTTTGGACCGTGCGAGGACGAGAGGGCAAAGCAAGCTCCACGTGTGAGCATGAGGCTGCTGGTGCCCTGGGAGTCCACTACAAAACACTCCCTGTTGGCACCACGGCTGGGAGGGAACAAGTCGAAACAGAGCTGGGTTTAAATTCATAAAATGTAGATTATAAAAGACTGCTGGCTACTGGAGCGAAAAAGGGGGAAGAGTGAGAAGTCCTGCTCCCATTGTGCTGTAGCATGCAGGTAAATAGCTGCGTGGGTCACTGCTGGTTTGTTTATGAAAGTGGGCATATCAGAGCTGGCATAGGCAAAAATCCCAGCACATCATATATTTTATTAAGTCCAGCTCAGCTACTTTTATCTTCCTATGCTAAAATTCACCTGTACTGCTGCTAGCGCTGACACTACCGCCCAGGCAGGTGTCCCTCAGGCTGTAGCCACAGCACCAGACCTTCCCTTCCCAGGGAAGACCAGTGAAATACTCTTGGGCTGTCCAGACTCATTTGGTCTCTCCCAGGAATTGCCTTTTCCCAGAAGATATTGAGAAACAGCACGCCTAAGAGCTGATTCCCACTGACGTAAATGGGAACTCTGTGTCTAGCTAGGGATTAGACCCTTCGCTCTGGATACAATATAATTTATGGAGCACCAGCATATGTTTGGTAACGTGCTATACACCAGGGAGTCATTAGCCCACAAGACACATTATGCACAGGATCGTGGAGAATTTAACTCTAAAGGATGTGGAAGCATCTGAGTTACTATGTTGTTAAGGTAATTTGGGGATAATTAAAAAGTCTGGCATCAATTGTCAAATTTCATTTCATGAATTAACTTAACCCAGAACAAAAGTATTTAGAAATTCTCAGCCCATTCACCCTGCAGGCCACGTGTGAGCTCTGGTGATGCCACCTCATCATCTGTGCGCCCACGGGGTTGGCTCTCGTGGAGGTGCAAAGCTCAGCCGACCGGTGGCACTGCCACCAGCAGTGCTGGTACTCACTGTAAGCACTTGATCAGCTGGACACACTAGAGAAATATAGGGAATATGCTCTAATGTTGAAGTCCCTGTCTTCTGTGTTGCCTGGATACCAATCACCAGACCTTTGAAGGAGGTTTTATTTTTGTTACCAGGGACTGGAAATGTTCTTGTCCCTCCCACAGACTGGGTTCTTCTCTTTTGCCATGAATATCCTCTGGCATACTAATGACAAGCCTCGGTACCTACTGCCACGTTTGAAGTGCTAAGGAAATATGATGTACACAGATAAAACACACTCTCCTACTATTTAATCACATTTATGGGTGACGTTCAGTGTAGTGTGCTTTTCTGGCTGCTTTCATTAACCTGGCTAACCTTCGCTGCTGCTAGGACAGTAATAGCTTACTGCTGCTTTTCAGGTGAGTGTGACACAGTTGCAGGGACACATTCTGTACAACAAAGAAATGACCCACACTGAACCAAGCCCCAAGTCCCTGAGGTAAGTGCATTAGTGTTTCTAACTGCTTGGATTTTGCTGGGTATCGCGCCTGAGGTCATACTATTCCACCAGTGCATCAGCATTCATTTAATAAAAACCCCTAAAAAATAGAAGAGGACTCAGCTGCAAATAAAAGCTTGGAAATGCTGTCACTGAACATCATGCACAGGAAAGAAACTGCTCTGAAAACTTTGTGACTGTTCAACCACTGTCACCATGTGCCATGGGGCTCAGAGCTGGCACCATGGCATCCAGCCCCTCGCTGCCCCGAAGGGTTCCTGCTGCTGCTGCGCCAGCGTAAGGAGCTGTCAGATACCGCTGCGTGAGCTGGGCTCGTCCATGGGCGACCCTGGCAACCGCAAACCAGACATGCTGAACCCCCTGTGCCTCCACTAGCAGCACGGCCACTGCATTTCTAGTGGCAGGTTGCAAAAGGGATGTCCCTCTCCTGGCTGCCCTGCTCTGGGGACAGCCTCCAGCCAGGCCAGCGCTGCACAGGGGCTGTGGAGCTGGGGGCTCTGGTCTCCTCAGAGGAGAACTGGAGGAAGCTGGTGGCAGATCAGGTCCACCACGGCCTGAACTCAGCCTCAAGCCATGGGACCCCATGCCCCGCCCCGGCAGTGCATCCCGTGCAACGCTCTGGGCTGGGGTCAGGAGCACCAAACATGATTTTCAGCTGCAGGGCAGGCTTTCTCCAGTTAGACCTAGCAGATACTGATGGGAAAAGACATCATCTTTAAAAAGCATAAAAGTATATAAACACAAAGCACCCGCCTGCCAAGTCTTTTTGCTGACAGAATCCAATTGTTCGGGACTGGGAGTTTCTTTTATGTGAATGACCCCGCTTAGCAGATGCTTCCTTCCATCTTTCAGATGAATGTGGCTCGTCAGGGCCAACACAAGACCTGGCAGGGCAAGGAGAGCTGTGCACTGAGCATCAGGGATGTCACCCAGCTCCTTCTGGCAGGGGGTTCATCTGGGACTGAGTGCCCATGCTGCCACCAGAGCCCTGGGGCTGCCTGAACCCAGAAACTGACCTTCAGACGTGACTGTTGGAAACCTTTAGCCATCCAAAGGCAGATGCTTCTGAAAAATCTCAGCTGCTAACTACCTGCATGTTCAGCTACCGAAAATCCCTGGAAAGCCAGGTGTGTTCCTGTGTCCCCGGCACCTTGCCCTTGCCAGCGCCAGCTGTGCCTGTCTGCAGCAGCTGGGCAGCCACAAAGAACACATCAACTTTCCTGACATGGCTTCTAGGCCTGATTTTTCAATTTATAAGGAGATAAACATGTAAAGAAAATGGCTCAGATCCTAAATAATAAACAAAATATGTAGCAGCAGAAAATACATTTCACAGTTCACTGTTACTGTAATTCTTTTTCTCTCGTTCACACTGGTACCCCACTCTCTGTGTGACTGTGTCTGTGGATGGGAATTCCTACTGTGTGTTTATAGCAGCTTTTTAACTTTGTGAACACAGTAATTTAGTTTAATCTTGAAATTAATAGTTCCAAGTAAAAAGAACAACTAACTATACCATAATAAGATTTTTTTTCTGAAAAAGGGAATCATTGAAGTAGCTGAAACCAGTGGATCGAGTCAAATATACATAAATAACCCTTTTAAAATTTTAAATTTAGCTTTATTGAGAAAGACTTGGTCATGGATTATTGGTTTCCTTCAGTGATTCTGTGTAGTAAGGTGGTGTTTTAGCAAATATTATAGCACTTTATTTTGTAAACAGCAGCTACAAAGTGATTAGTGTTCTCTAGGCCTGGCTATAAACTGATCATCATTTTTTTATGTGGACTAGCTTTCAATATTCCTTGTTAGTTCAGATAAAGGTCTTGTTCTGTAACACCTCAGCCATAGCAGACCAGTGGGTGTCTTGAAACCAGCTCTGTGTGAAGGTACCATTTTGACCATTACTCAGCCGATACCAGCTCAAGGACATTACAGAAAGAGGCTGTGCAGTATTTACTTCCTCAGCTGATGGAGGGACATTCCCAGCTGGTGTGTACAGACACAACAGCCTTGAATTCAGATCAAGGACCTCAGCCTGAAACCTGCCTATTCCGAATGAGACAGACTCCTTGCTCCATCTCCTGGACCACAAGTTCAGTGTGCTAAACCCCAGCGCAGTCAATCAGGAACTTGTGGCCACTGCGCCAAGTGGTCTTGTAGTCCATCCATAACTGGAATACTTTCAATGTAAACCTAGAGGACAACTGAAATCTAAAATCATTGGGCTTGTGCTCATGACTCATCTATGATCCCTTTTTAGACCTGCCCTGGAGTCAATGCCCGTTAATTGCTTTGTGCCAGCATGACTGGTTAATGTACTGAGTGAGGTCTTTTCTCAAGCTCTGCTATAAATCTCTTTCAGCGAAGGCCACATAGCAGGGTCAGCTTGTTTTCTAGTGGCTTTGTTTAAGCTCAGGATGGCTAAGAGCCTTACGGAGCTGTGACTTAGTAGGCAAATGCACCAGTCTGTCATCAGCAACTGCCACCAGAAAGCCCTTCTAGGATGGCTGATAGTTCCTAAAAGAGCTTCCTCTGGCCAGACAGTTCCACCTGCACCTCCTGTCCCTGCAGCAAAGCCCTCCCTTTTTGTCTTATGCTGCTTTGCCGAGGCAGGAGCCTGCGGCTTTGTAAAGACTTGCATCCATAATTTATGGGCCCTAGACATCTGGCTCGGAGTCAAGAGTGCTGCCAGCTGAGCCATGCAGGCATATTTTGTAGGTAATTGCTCTGTCCCTGCATGGCCACTCTCCCGGGTGCTCAGGTCTCCTATCTCACCTCTTCTATGACACCCTCCTCAAACTCTTTGCCAGGGTGACTGCAGGCACTGGATACCATACCTTTGAAGCTTTTTTCCATTATGTATGTGTTCTGACGTCTATCCATCCCACAAGCACCTGCATAAAAATGATATATAATGGAAAACAAATAAATATTGATGTAAATTGGATTGCTTTGACTACTGAGCAGCATACATTCTTTCCTCTAAATTGTACATCAAGGCCCTCATTTAGGGAGGCTCTTAAGCACATCCTCAGCTGTAAGCATGCACTTAGCTTCAGTGGGGATTCTGCGCACGCCTAAAATTATGCATATACTTAAGAGCTTCCCTGGAAGGGAGGGTTTTCCTGAAGCAGGGTACTGCTCATTACCAAGAACAGCTATCCATCAGAACAGAAAAAAAATCATCTGCCGATACGTTCATTACTGAAACACTAGGTTGGATTAGTAAAAGAAGCCTAAAACAGCCTTTCAAATTTGAGTCCGCAGGTTACGTTACATTACTCTGTGACTAATTTTAGGCTTTGTTTCATTTGTGGATAGTAGGTTATTTAATTTACAGACTTAGATTCTAAGGTGTGTACAATCTTTCTAAATTACCTTATATGACCTTGCTTATAAATTTGCACAGTTCAATAACTGACAATAACTGACAATAGTCCCTAAGTGGCTACAGCGGTCTGAAAATGCAGCAACTGAGAGCAGAGAGCTGATAGCAAAGGCTTCTGCCTTATGCAACTCCATAAGAACTTGCTGTTCCTTGCAGATGCAGAGATAGAAGGGGATGGGAACCTTTTCCATTTTCACTACTGCAAATTATCCTAGATATCAATCAAAAGGAAAATCAATGTAAGCCTTTAAATCTTTTTAACTATAGAGTCTGATATTTCTTATTGACTAGCAAAATCAACACAAATTTGGTTACTGAGACAGAAATGTCTTTGTGGCTTATGGGATTCCCAATCAAGTAATTAAGTTAGCTGGTAAAAGAGTCCTGCAAACAGCATGTCCCAGAGGTCTCCCAGCTATTTGTCCTTGCATGTCCTCTGGTCTCTACAGAAAAAGCTGTCACCACCATTAACAATGCTGTACCAGTCCTTTCTTCACAACAGCCTTGGTTTTTTGCTAAATAAGGAAAATCACTAAATTAGATAATAAAGGTGTTACTGGCACATCAAAGACAAAACCCTTTGCTCTGATTCTCAGAGTGTCCATCCCTGAGCACAGGAAAAGGGCTGGCGGTACATGACTGGCTCTCTGTGATGGGGCTCTTTCCCTTCTGGCCAAGAGTGACCCCCCAAAACCGTTTGGGAACCTTCTGTTCATTTCCCACCACTCATCCTGAGCCACTTCCCAGACTCACCCCCTGAAAGAAGATGCAGAGGGCAAGGCTGACTGGGCAGTTTGGGCATAGCGGGGAAGCTCTTTCACCTCACAGTATTAGCTGTGTGCTTTTTTTTCTCTCCTGTATTCTGCTAGGGCAGAGTCCTGAGCGAAGAGGATGGAGCTAATTCATCCCTTGGCTCACATCCACAGGGCTGGTGCTCCCCTTCCCAGCTGCGGTGCTCTCGAAGGTCATCCCTGGCGGTCACACATCCTCCTGCCAGGGCTGAGCAAGCCTCCAGGGGCAGGAATGCCCAAACAGTATTTGGGCCAGGGTGCCTCCCTGGTGCCTCCCCAATACACAGGGTGCCTCCAGCAAGAAGCAGCTCATGCCACACAGAGCAAGGCTGACATATGAGAAGCTGGTGAGCACACAACTGGGGTTACAGGGTGAAGGGAGCTGTACCCACAAAGAGAGAGCAGTGACAGGGAAGAAAACGAGACCCAGGCTGACCCATGGAGAGGTGCATTGGACACAGCATTGCTCACGTAGTGCAACAGCAACACTGGAAGAGCATCTGGCTTCAGAAGACGGGGATGAATAACTTTGCTCAGGACCATGATCTAGTCCTCCCCATAACTTTAAAATATTGACCAGCCATGTCAGAGTTGTTAGAAACAAAGCAAGCAGCAAAAGAACCCAGGAGTGATCCTGTAGGATAATGTCCTCATAACTGCTGGGGATTAATGAGATGGTTAGAATAAGGACCATGAAGAATAAGTGACTTATCGAAACAGGGGTTACCCAGGGAATGGTTAGCTGTGCTCACTGCACAGTCCATCCTTGTACAAGAATGTTGCATCTGTTCGAGCATCCTCATCAGATCTTTACAGAAATGTTCCCATTGTGACTGTGAAGACCTGAACAAAGGCTGGAGCCTTGGGGCTGCTGTAAGGATGCAGCAATATCAACCGGCACTTTTGGTGGCTCGGAGGGGAAGGACTCCACCTTCTGAGCGTATTTTGTTAGCTCAGCTCCATGTGAGCTCCTGCCAGTCCTATTGGAAATGTCAGGCACGTCTGGAAGGGCTTCTGCAGCAGCAAAGATCACTGTGCCTGCTCTGAGTAAGCCCAAACTTGCTGTGAGACCCTCTGGGAGGGCAGGCTGCTGTATTAATACAGGGTTTGTCTGAGTGAACCTGACTTCTGGTTCTGAGTCGGGTAACAGGCAGTCCTTGCCCACACTGAGCTGCAAAATAGCACATTGCCATGCTTGAGCTCAGTTCTCACTTAGTCCAGTGTACCTGTAGAAAACTAAGAATCCTTCTTATGGGAGGATGGCTAAGAAAAGGTGGGATACACCTGCTAGGAAAGATACAAGTAGGGTTGGTGCTGCCTTGGAAAGGCTACACGACCCCTCAAAGCCCTTCCCAACCTATTCCCTGTAACTCTGCCTTTAGCCTTCTTTTATGTCTGTTATAATTCTGTGGGGTTTATGACCCATTTTTTGTGTATTCATTGCATTTCCCAGGAGGTGAAATGAATGATGGATACATTATTTTTTAAACTGCAAAAGTAGTTAACGTGGAAAAGCCCTAAACAGGCCAGGATTCTGGCATGTCAGGAAAGTCTACATTTAAGTTTGAAGCTAAATTGTCTGCTGGGGTGAAATCAGAGTCTCGGCTGGAAATATTTTTCCACACCCCTTAGCTTTGAGGAAAATGCAAAGTCAGCTCTGAATCAAACTTTGTGGCTTTGGTCCTCTGGAATAAATGCAGCTTTGAGTCACTCAAGATGTGCTGCAAATTACACTTTAGTCTCTGCATTGAGGACTGCTGTTAAAAAAACAATACAGATGATAAAACAATTTTTGTCTGCAGCCTGCTGTGCCCAGCACTCAAGCTAATGAGTAGGGGGTTTAGGACTTTTGACTTGCTTGGAATAGGAGCTGGAAGCTGGACTATGCAAATGCTTAACGCAGCCTGGACTAAAGCAAGAGAGATTAGTCATGGGGCAAACAATTCCGGTTCTGCAACAAGAGAGCGAATAGAAAATGCAAAGACAAGCCATTCCTTGAAACTAGTAGGAGGAAGTTGCATTGAACAGGTAGTGACACAGAGTGAAGGTGACAAAGCCGCCTCTTCTTGGCACTACAGAGCCCCCAAACTCTGATCTCAGGCACACGTCCACGAGAATTACTTGCGCAAATGTGCTCATCACTAGACTCCAACTCCATTTAACAGATATGATTATCTCTCTGACAAAGCCTGATATTTGAAGCTCACAAGCAAATGTGCCAGCAGTAAAAATACAGGCTTTGTTCTGCTCCTTGCATTTCCCAGTTGGAAGGAACACAAACCTGGCAACTGAAGTCCTGCAAAATAGGCAAAATACCTGCAGTCTCATAAGATCCACTGTATGTGTATGTACAGTGGCTATATATATGCATAGACATGCATACACATATGTAAGACTCATGTTTTTCTCCACAGTTTCTTCCTGTTAGGCTCAAAGAGAGCCCCATTGATACCAGAGGGAACATACACATTGACTTAGATAGGAGTTACATTGGGTCCTCAGTTAAGACTAATTAGTTTTTCTTAGCATCACTTATAGCAAACAGCCTCTGGCCATCTGATCCGCGCTCTTCCCAGGAAGCTGGTGCTGGCAGATTCACTCTCATGCTTCCTTGCCATGTTTGCTCTATCATCTCCTTGATCTGTGCTGCTGTGGCAGTGTGTAGGGCATGCATCTGAAATAAGGACCATGGTGGACCCTGAAACGGGCTGTTCCTTTGGCCCTGAGCCCCTCGGTATGAACAGCCCTTTCTCTGCTCCCTCAGAGAACATCTTTCTTTCTTTCCCTTTCCAAATAAAATGTCTGAGGAATGATTCCTGGCTGAGCAAAGGCCAATGATGCAAACTGTGAGCAATCAAAAGGTGTTTTCCAAAACTGTAAAAGTGCAGCCTGCAAGCATGAGGAGAGCAAAGAGGGGTTAATTAAAGCACTCGTGTCTGTTACCTGTGGGATTGCCTTTATGAGATAATACACAAGCAAACAGAAAGTATATGGTATTTCCAGAAAGCATTCTGTTGATCCTCTTTCAGACACAGATATAGAGATAAATTACTTGGAAGTGAGGAGCTGTGGTGCCAGGCATACAGAAAAGGGCATGATACCACCAATCAACTGTGCAGCAGTGCTCTGCTTCTGCTAGAAACAGTCTCCTGGCTTCTCCTGAGCTGCCAGCCACTGCTCCTGAGTAAGGCAGCATCTTCTCCTTGGGAGTAGCTGCTTCTCCTGCTCTCCTGAGCTGTGAGATCAAAGGGGATTCTAAGCCTGGATTCAGTGGTATTGGGAAGCAAGGTTTTCCCCATAAGAAGAGTCCCTGAATCCTTACATCCAGTCTGAGCACAGCTATGACCCTGAAAAGTGATGGTATGCTGCAGTTCAAAATACAGAAGGTGTCAGCCTGGGACAGGTCTGGACAGCATCCAACTTTGAGCACAGTATTTGATCAGAAATGTATTTCATAGGTTAAAAAAGAATTAAGAAAACTCCTTATGATTGCAGGTTTTAGAAGATGAGTGTCCGAGTTAATTTTCACAGGGATATTCTTACAATTTCCTTTCCCCCAACTATAATTCATATTTATGACACTTGCAATTTCTAACAAGCCTACAGACATTTTTGTGAGCCTGATGCTCTTTCCCACCTGGTTGGTCCAAAGAGCCTATCCTTTGGGACCACTGCCTCAGCCGGAGGTGTCGCTGGCTGAACAACCAGGGAGGCGACCAGAAGAGCTGAGGGTTTTCCATCCGTTCTGAATTCTCTTCAATTTCCCTTTAAGTCCTCTTCCCTGCCTCTAGCTCACTTACACATCTGCTTTCTATAATATTTCACGGGGTCAGAACAGAGGAGTTGTCTACTGCTATTTTAACTATTTTTAACTGAATCCAGCCATGCACAATGCTTGGCTGCTATTCCAACACATGAGCTGGAGCATCTGTGTCATAAAAACTAAGGCTAATAGTGGGATGAGAAGGTGGTACATCTCTAACTTTTCGGTACTTCCATGCATGATGCAGTTTAAAGGTCAAGATCCTCTATGTGACCTTATTAGGCTTCACTTATATTTTAAGTAAGTTTACAATTCAAAATTGAAGTTTTTCACTTCCTTCTGAAATTTGCACATGCAAGTGGAATCTGCAGCTTTCATTGCACAAAAGTGATACCATAAAATGAAAATATTTTACAGTTTCATGTGAAAATGTCCTTGGTCTGAGCAAGAATTCAACATTATGAAAGTTAGCATAAGCAAGCATTAATTTTGGTATTGAAAGGGAAGAAAAAAAAATCTCATTTTTATCAATTAGTGTGAAAAAGACATTTTGAAAGAAACAAAAAAAAGGGGGGAAAAAAGTATCTGGGATGCAAAATGCCATGGAAAAAATTGTGACTTTTGCTGGAGAGCACTTAGCTAAAGTATTTATCACTTCTACATTATTCTTACTGCAAAAGCATCTAGCATCCCTTCTGCTAGTAACATAAACTGCATGACTGCAGGACAAATGTGGCACACAGGGAGTTCAGGACACCACAAGATAAGATAAAAACAAATAAAGCTAGTGAGCAAAGCGGTAAAATGGTAAAAGGAAAATTAACTTGATCTGAGGAGCATTTTCCAATCCTTTCACCCAATCCTCACCACCCGCAACTCTCCATGTTACATACAGATAAGCACAACAGCGGTTCTGCAGCTTACAAAAGAGAAGAAAACATTAATAGTTGATAAAGGTGGAAAAGGCTTTGCATTGAAGCTCGACAGTTTTGTGATTTTCCTGATGCAGGGAAGACTTGATCTTTGGAGCAAGGCATGGTGTGTGACCAAAAGAGCAGTGACAAGATGTGATGCCTGGTGGTGCTTCATGTTAATTCCTTTGCCATGTGAGCTGTGAGATAGTTGACCTTAAAAATCCTATAATATCACTCAGTACTGCACTTTCCCTCATACTGCATATTTTGAGTAAGATATTAGTAATCTCAGTAAAGGAAAGGGCAAATGCTTTCTGCCACTGACAAGCTAAACTCCAAGTGCTTACAAATAGCATCCAAAGCACTAAATCTGGATAGGTTTTGAGATACAAGCTGCTGAAAACCCTGTTAAAACTGAAGCCAGGGAGAATCAACTCAAAAGGGCAATTAGACTTCACTTTTGGCTTGTTTGCACTGGCTGGTGGCTCAAAATTGCCTGAAAAATGGCCACTGTATAATTAACTGGGAGACAACAGGGTGTATCGCACGCTCCAGCTCCCGCCAGAGGCTCCACAGTTTTAGCAAGACACCAGTATTTAGTGCTAAACTTTATTAAGCATGAAAGGAAAAAACAAACAAACAAATTTGAATTTTTAATGTTCTAAGTTAGTCCTTAAAAAAACATTTATAGAATAGATGATAGTGATTCAACCGAGCAACCTAGGAAGGGAGGCTAGAATGAATATTGACCCTGCTTTCCCAATCTGTGGTTTGTGGTAAAGGAAACAATTTTCAATTCTTGATCTTTCACTACTAGCAATTCTGATTGTGAAATAAAGACACTGCCAATATTCTTCATTATTGTTAAGACCTTTATAAAAGGTTGATTCGGATTTGGAATTGCTCTAAAGTCTACTAAAATGATTAAATTGTTTAAAAATTACTGACCTAGTTCATTCAGATAGGTGTAGGGTCTCCAGTCTGCAGTTTCTCTGTCAAGGATTTTGTTACTGAGCTGTTCAAAAAGTATGATAATGGGTTAATGCTGAAATAAACAGACAGTTCCCACTCAAGACTTCAGCCCAATGATGTCACGAATAAGAATGGGGGATGACTATTACTTTGGCCTCACCATTTCAGTTCTTTATCTGTATGAATTTGACAGTTGTTCACTAGCATTAGGGAAAATCACAAAGGAAAGTCACTTCACCAAGCAATGAACACAAGCATGCTGGAAAATAGAGGATTTCCTTCAGTAACCAGTAATCACGACTCCAATGCCTATGTACATAGAGTGACATGCTGGCAGTTTCAAAATAACTAATGAAGATGGATGGATCAAAACCACCTACATGAGCATGCAGATAGGAGCTGTTTGGAACAAAGGAGATTTGCTAATGCATCTGTGTATTTAGTTAAAAGACATGTAATGGCTACAAGATTTCTCTCAATTCAAGGAAAATAACATTGGCAATAACGAAGCATAAAGCCCCGTGCAGATCTGCCAGCAAAAGCGGAGAGGAGTCCAGGGCTGCCATCCAGATGCTACTGTTGGAAAAACACCTCTTGCAGGGCGGCAGCTGGGACCCTCCGTGTGCCCAGGGCGCAGCCGGCTCTTGTGCCAGCACGGCTGGGGAGGGGCGGATGGGCACAGCCTGCGCCGCCGGGGTGGTACCATCTGGAGAAGGCTGCTATTGTATTAAGCACACATGTCAATATGCTTTTGATTTTTTCTGCCATTTGTAGAAGCCTCACTCAAGGTAGGTAATGCTTAAGCACAACATCAAGAGGCAAGCACAGCGTCTGCCTGAGGGATGGGGATTTTGGGGACCTGGAATGAGCTCGCTGGAGCATCTCTTATGGCAGTCAGTGAAAGGAGAGGGGCTGCTGTTTTGGGGGTGCATGACACATTGTCCATGTGTCTGCAGAACAGCCGCTGTCCCTGAACACTGAGGATGGCTTTGCAGGAAGCCCAGAGTCCCCCAACACTCCTGGAAATACCTGACAGTGCACATGCCACCTGAGGGGAGGGGGACATGGCCCTGTGCTCTTAGGACATGTAGTCCCATGCATCCCCCGAGTGTGTGGTCACAAACACCTTTATGTTGTGCTACCAGCCCAGGAGCCCGGTGAAGGGTGAGGTGCACTGTGCAGGATGCTGTGCAAAGAGGCATGATGGCTCAAACCCTGTTTTGGAGAGATTTCCTTAAAGGAAATACAGCCAGATGGGGAGGGATAAAAGGGCTGTCCCATGTAGCAGTCGGGGACACTGCTCTGTGCCATGTAACATGGACACAATCTCAGGGGCAGGGCAGTCACCAGGCAAAGTGGTTTAGCCAGTTGAGTCTGCTGCAAGGAGCACACCACGGCCTGAAAGGAATAACCATGTCATGGGAGGTGGAGAAATACAGCAGTGAGGAGAAATGCTGGACCAAAAGAGGGGAGGAGGGCATGGGGCTGGGCAGCTATGCAGCTCCTCTGCCCCTTGGTTTAGGTAGTGACCACACTGGGGAGGGCTTAGGGTCAGGAAATTTCCTCTGGCAAAAGTTCTTCTATAACTAGGGCAATGGGGATGAGCAAGATCCTCCCAGCCAGCCAGATGTTCTGTGAGCATCCCCAAAGCTGGGTCACTGAGGATAAAGCTGCAGAGCTCTGCAGCCTCTCCCTTATCTCTAGGGAAAGCATCTGCAAATACTCCTCTTTACCAGGAGTACCACATTTAGGACAACCACAGTATACATTACAAACTGCATATTGACATTTAGAAGCTTTTATCTGATCACAGAAACTGGGTTTCATTTGGGTGAAGATTTTTAACAACCACAGGCAAAACCTGGCCCTCATTGACTGAATCCTACTGATTGAATTCCATTGATTCAGGATGCAGAAAGTGATCTGATGTGTTTTTACACCAAATGTAACCTGCCCTGGCTTAAACAGACACAGGAGAAACCACAGTGTGAGCACTACACAGAGGCATAGGAGACAGCACAGCTAGAAAAGGCTGTGCACGCACACACATGTGTGCACACACACACAAAATGTTGGGTCTCTCTACAAGCAACTGCACAGTATTTTTAGAGCTATTCAGCTGAAGCTTTTACACAAATAGGTTTCATCATTTACAAAGCATGTAAGCGTGCTCCAAATGGGCTGAACTCCAGCCTGGAAGAAAAATTCAGGACACACAATAGTGCAGATACACCGACCACACACACACAGAGATGTGTGTGTATACACACACACACACACACACACACACATATATGTGTAAAAGTATACACACAGGCACACACAGAGACAAAGATAGATTAATGCCAGCACACTGAAAAAAGCCCATTTCAAATTCATCTGAAAGCCAGGCTCTGGTTGAAAGAGATCCTGCTGCTGAGCCACCAGCATTGACCTTGAAAGAGGCATGAATTCAGGGCGCTACTGTGCCCTGTGCTGTGCGGGAAGTGAAGCCAGATGATCACAGCGGTCCCTGTGGCCCCACAGTCCATGAATCTCACATCAGACAGCACCAGCAGCACAGTGATAGCTGTATCTAGTGCCTCATCCTGTTCCTTCTCATTTTCTGTCTCTATATATTCCCACTAAGGTAACGTGTCATCAGCTCATTAGGCACCTTTGCACCAGCCACTCTCCTCAAGGACATGCCCAAAGCAGAGAGAAAGTTGATAAAGCTGGTTGCCTGCAATATTTCTAGAGCAATCAATTGCCTGAGAGCAGTGGCTGTGACTGCACATCCTTGCTCCTGGCACAGGCTGTGCATCTGGTGTCTCCCAGTTGACTACACAGGAGTCATTTCTTTATCATTCAGCAGCTCCTTGTACTCCCCCAAAACTGGGAACATAAACACTGACAGCAGATACACGGTACGGATGGATGGGGCAGTCAGACCAAACAAGCAACGGCAGGGCGTTCAAAAGCAGATTGGTTTGTAATGTGGTCACAGAAGAAGGAAACCGATGTTCCTGGCCCTACACTTGGCCCGTGTAAATCGGTGCAGCCCCACTAATGGCACTGTCAGCTTTCATCAGCAGAGCCGACAGCTTTTTTCTTCATTTCAAAACTTGCAGCAATAACATGAATGCTGATTTTTAATCCAGCTGCACCACTGAGATGACATTTATTGAAGTCTTTGAGTTTCTATCGAAAGCTGTGTTTTTGCAGGATTTATAAATCAGCTCACAAACCTAAAATTTGGCATGAAGAGCTATGGGCTAGAATTGGTTTTTTTAAATGAAATGATTTGGGGACATTTCTAAGTTTTTCAGAATGCAGTAATTATGAAGAAATGTGATTATAGCTGTCTCTTTGTGCTACTATCATTTCTTAACACACTATAATTTGTTAATTTTTTTTTTTTTAAGATAGAAGATACTTCAATTTTTAGTGTGAAGCAAAATTGCTTTTCTGGAGGAAAAAATACTTCATACTAGATTTATCCACTAAAAATCCTAGCTTGTAATTTTAGCAATTTGGTTAAAACTACCTCATAACTCGCAACTTTTCCTTTAAGATCAGTGAGGTACTAGCATAAGTAAAGCAAAGTCATTATCTGCCCATCTGAAATAGCTGGATAGATCACAGTGGCAAGTTGATCACCAACATGCCATGTGTCAATGCGCAGGTTTTCTAAGAAGTCCGAGGTGATTAGCCAAAGAAGTGCTGGCGGGAACTCCATCATACCTTTATCCTCCAAGATAGCAACTGATAAGAGTTTTGCCATTAACTTTCCTGACTACTGACTTCAGGTTTCCATGGTCCAAGCCTGTGTTTCTCAGTTTTAGATGGCCATCCTGAACACTCTGAAGCGATTCTATATTTGCAGTCTTCCTTTTTCTTGGGCAAGTTTTAGTCAAAGCTACTTTAATGATGCTTTCTGTGGTTGAATTTGTTTTTATTAGCTGGGTGACATCCAGTCAGGCCATTTCCAGTGATGTCTGTTTTGCCGTTTCTAATTTTATGTGAAGTCTTTGGTAGAATTTAGAACTTCCTTTAATAGATGCGAATCTGCTGGCTTTAAAAACTCAGGACATCTAATAGCAATTGATTTTTATGATGTCTGTAGAAACTAGCAACACCTGGGCTCTAGCTGCAATGCTGTTCTCCTTTGGTAGGGAGTGAGGGTGGAATTAAGAGCTCTGCAAAAGAGCAAGGTGAGAATCCTTCATTTGCTCATGACATACCAGTGTGGCAGCCTCATGCTTTATACAGGGTATTTTTCACACACTTTTGCAGCCTTCTGTAAAAGGGACATATATTCCTACATTCATGCACAACTCAAAAACTCAAACATACAGCTAGCATTGAAGCACTGAGAGTGGTTCTGTGAATGGTCTGACCAAATGCCTCTGAGTCTTCAGTGTTTGAAAATCTGGTCTCTAACTCAAGCAATGAGAGCTCTGATGTGAAGACACGGGTACGGAGGTAAGTCTGTGTCCTGGTTTTGGCAGGGATATAGTTAATTTTCTTCCTAGTAGCTGGTACAGTGCTGTGTTTTGGATTTAGTATGAGGATAATGTAAATAACACACCGATGTTTTAGTTGCTGCTAAGCAGTGCTTACACTAGTCAAGGACTTTTCAGCTTCCCATGCCCTGCCAGCGGGAAGCTGGGAGGGGGCACAGCCAGGACAGCTGACCCAAACTGGCTAAAGGGATGTTCCATACCATGGGACGTCATGCTCAGCATATAAACTGGGGGGAGTTGGCTGGGGGGCGGTGACCACTGCTTGGGGACTGGCTGGGCATCGGTCGGTGGGTGGTGAGCAATTGCATTGTGCATCACTTGGTTTGTATATTCTTTTATCATTATTATTGTTGTTGTTGTTATTATTATTTTCCCTTCCTTTTCTGTCCTATTAAACTGTCTTTATCTCAACCCATGAATTTTACTTTTTTTCCCCGATTCTCTTCCCCATCCCACTAGGGTGGGGAGTGAGCGAATGGCTATGTGGTGTTTAGCTGCCTGATGGGTTAAACCACAACAGTCTGTATCTCTATTTACCTACTTCGGAAGATTTTGGTGCAGTAATTCTGCAGCACAATTTCACTTGAGTTCATGTACGATACTCCTTGGTAACTTGCAGCCTCATTATTATTTGCTGCTGCACGTTATAAGAATAAAGGCCAAACTTACCTGTAGGAGCTAATAGGCAAAGGTCAAATTTTGGCTTTGCTTAAACTAATAGTAAAATATCTATTGACTTCAATGGGGCCAGCATTTCAGCAGAGCTGACTTCGCAAGTTCGCTCAAATGGGAAGAGCATTTACTTGTAACAAGGTGCTGGTAGTTACAAACTTGCACTGAGATGCAGGAGCCTCTGCTTCCTCCTTAACCCCAGGGATGCAGAGCCATTCTCCTGGACCTTGCACAGAGACACAGCTCAACTCTACCAACTCCTGCTGGCAGCCGGAGCAGGCTTTAGGGACACAGGACTGGAAGGGCTTTGAACGCTGAGTGCCTGAGTCCAGCCACCTTTTACTGCAAACACCCAGGCACATAATCACTTAGATAGCTGATCAAGCTCCATTTTAACAGTAATCAGATTTCTTTGTCCCATTAGTCTTACTGGGAAGCTATTCCAAAATCTCACTGATCTGATGTTAGAAATCTAATTTCCAGCCTCGATGCATTCATGGCCAGTTCATCCTCATTTGTTCCTGTGCCAGCTCTGTCATGTAACTTAAATAGTTCTTCTCCCTCCTAGTGTTTACCCTGTTGTATTTATAGATGGCAATCATACTCTCTCTCAGCATTCATTTTGCTAGATAAAAGAAGCCAAGACTTTTTTTACTCTCTTTTCATACATTCTCCCTTATCGTCTCACTTGCTTTTGCCTGCATGTGTTCCAGTCTGAGCGCTCCACTAGCACAACTAACCCGTCCTGTATACACCAGGAGGATTTTAATGCCTCCACTCGTACTTGTCTCTCAGCAATTTCAAAGTTTTTACCTTCAGGACATGTATAGGGTCCTGAGCAGTGGCCAATGTCTGTCTGGCAGAGGGGAAATGAGGAGGTGAGATACCTTCCCTCTGGTCCTAGACAGGATGCGGGAAGGCTTGGCACTGCTCCCTTCCTATGAAGACAGACCTGTCCCACAAACTGCAGTCCTCAGTGCGATGCTGGACCTTTTAGCTTCTATCAGCCATCCCTGCTCACCTTGATTCCCTAGTGAAGTACCCACCATGTACACTGATAAGAGCAGCAGGGTTAGTAAATGCAGTCAACAGCATAGGACAGCTGTGCTCAGTGCCCTGCGGCCAGACTGACCCTTGCTGAGCTGGTATAGGGCTGGGAGAGGAAAGCAGAGACAGCAGGAAGGAGAATAGAAATAGTATGTGTATAGTTGGGTGAGAAAAGATAATGGGAAAATGGATATGAGAAAAAACAGATAATAGAGTGGAGACAACACCAAGGGAAGAGGAGAGAAAAGGCAAAATAAGACACAGAAAGAGATAAGAGGACAAGAAGGGCAGGGGGAGCACACGAGAAAGTCTTCTCAAACTGGAGTAGGGCTGCATCTCCCCATTGCCGTCTCTTTGTACCTTTGCCCAAGCTGTCTCTCCGAAAGAAGTGATAGAGGAATGGCTCCAGTCCATCGCCTCAAGGCATGATCTCCTTTGAGCACAGGAAGGATAATACAGCCAGGGCTCTGGCTCAGCAGTTCAGAGATTCCTCTGCCATTTTTTTTTCATTTTGCATCTGTGCTGGTTCCTTTGTGACCCCAGCTGCCACTATAAAGAAATGAATCCTCCGAGTACAACTTGTGCACATTTCCCTGCAGAAAGTGGGAATGGCACCAGACAAACTGATTTGGAAATGAAACTCGTTAAGGCAGCCATTAGGGACTTTATATGCCCTTTTGTCTCACTTGGCTGGAGAACTGCATAGACAGAAGCAGCGTATTTTTGGCCATCCTCAGCTATTCAGTACTGCAAAGAATTCTCATGAATAAGTAAGATGGTGGGAGATCTAAAGGAAAAGACAGGCCATGTATTGTGATAAGTGCCCTAAAAATACCAGATCCATCATTTTTTCTTTTTTAAATATCAAGACAACCTGCTGACCGACTACTGATAGCCAGGAAGGCTAGCAGCTTCCAGGCTAGTCCAAATGCATCACTTGGGTTTTAAACCTTTTCGGCAGCTTAATATTTGAAGTAGCTCTGTGACAAGATGGCACTGCAGGCTGGGAAATCAGGATAGGTGCTTGCTTTGACCTTTTCTGAATTCATTTAAATAACTACAACAGGATTAGTGGTCCAGACCCACACTCATGGTGTTCATCCTAAATTTGACATTATGAGCATTTGCACTTTCAACTTGGGGAGCAAAAATGCATGATGTGAAGGGACCATCTACACCAGAAAACATATTTACACATCTGTCTAAACTTTTCTCTGAGAAATCTCTGGAGCCAGCCTTTTTATTACATTTTAATGAGATTTTCTTTTAATAACCAAGAAATTACTTACAGGAGCACATGTAGAAATATTTTTGCATACCCTCTCTTGTAGAATAGTGTCTTTTTTGCATTAATCTTGTTCTCATGGCTTTCCAGTTAGCAGAGCTATATTTGGATTAAGGTGACACAGCCTGCAAGTACCATCATTTTTAAAGCTGACAACCTTGATGGAATGAATTGCATTTCCTTTTTCCTCTGCTCCCTACCCTTTGCTCTACCTTGGCTTATTAAGGCTATAAGGGAAGAGCTGGCTTACCATTTACCATATCTGAATCTATTGCTAGTGAACTGAGTAATAGTGTTGTCCATGAATGGTCCTAGGGAGTCAATAGCAACATGTGATAAATAAGGTACTCCTGGATGTTCGAGCAATACAGTCTGAATAGCTCTGCTGGAGAGCCACAAGTAACAGCAGAGCTCTCAGAATGCCCCTGGACGAGAACAGTGCTCAGAAACACCCTAGATACCTTCTTGCATCTATCCGCTTGTCTGTGTCAGCAGGAAATTTGTGTGTCTACTGATCTGGGAAACAATGATATAGCAAAGTTAGACTACTGACTTAATGCTTCATTGATTTACTTTTGTTATATTAATGGATAATTACAATTATCTAGTTATTTATCTTTTCTGAGAAGCAAACATACCTTATAGTTGCTAAGACACCAAGCCTTATTGACCCAGACAGGCATGTGCTGAATCTCCAGTTACCATGCACAGAGATTATGAAGACACACACAGGGGAAAGCAGACCTTTTTGTGTCTGTTAGAGCTACAATGCCAGGAACTGCTACACTGGATTTTTAAATAATGCTGGCAGACAACAGGATCCAACAGGCATTGCTTTGGTTGATTTCCTTGAACTGATAAGAACATTGCTACAGTGGGGTGGGATAATATCTACCTTACTGGAGCTGTTTCCATCCAGATTACTGGTAAAGAAGCGTGAAGTCACACCACATGAGAGAGTGTGGTAGCTTGGATTGGAAAAACAATGTACACTGCTGCTACCTTGAGATATATCTGGGAAGAAAACAAGTCATCACAAAATACTTTGGAAGCCATAACAATTCTTAAGAAACTGAAAACATGCTAGAGATGATCTAGTTTAGAAAAATTTGTTAGAGTACTGAGTGTTATAAAACATCTCCAGATAAAATCTATCCTGCATTATCATGGTGTGAAGCTCTTGATTATTAGCATTAAGTATAGGATAAAAAAGCAAAATATTTAATTAATACAGTGTTATCTTTCTGAAGATCTTAAAGTAATTCCTGACAGTCCAGCTGCTTTGCAGGTAAGGGAAGAAATGCAAAACTCAGGAAATGCATGATCTGCAACAGAGTTTCTTCCTTGGTTTAAACACATGTAAGAGCTACTGATGAGAATAACCCTTATAGTTACAAAACAATTAATTTTTTTTTTGTTACAAAAAAGGTAGTTAACGTTAGAAATCGAGGTGCTATAACTGTACAGAGGAGTCCCAAACATTTGACACAACTTCTTGTGCAAAGGCTTAGAAAAAAAGAAGGCTGCAGCACTGAAAGGCAAACTTGGGCAGTCACATTGTTACGCTTAGAGACATTTTATCTATCTCCTTACTTTAACTTATGAACACATTTACCAAACAAAATAATTTACCGAGAAAGGCATCATATTTATACTGGCAGTTCTAATGAAAACATCAATCCCAATCTGGTTCCAGCTTAATAACAAATTGATAAATATTTCAAAGTACAATCAGAAGAAAGGATGAAAAATTTAAACTGAAGCAGTATCATTTAAACAGCCAAGCCCTGTAAGAAGTAAATGAATGGATTAGTTTTAATAAACCATGGGCTTAAATTGCAGGCAGAGAGGTTAGTTATAGGAAACACCTTCACATGGAAAGGGTAATGAAGTGCTGGGGTGGCTGCTTGTCCCCTTCACCGGAGATCTTTAATGAAGGTTGGCAGCAGGTGGGTGAGGAAGGACACGGACCTGGCTGGTACTGTCTGCAGGAGAGGGGTACCCAGTCACCATCAGCCACCTCTCCTTGCCCTCTGCATTTGCATTCCTGTGAACATGCACTTTGCTTTGCTGACATCTTGTGGAGATCTAGATTTAGCTTAATTTACTGCAAAATACCCTGTTTCAAATAAGTGGTTTTATCTGCAGGGTGTCTATTACATAAGCGCTGTGGCACACAGCTGAGGGAGGAAACTGCACACACATGTGCATATCTGACCAAGCATTTATTTTCTGCTGAAACACACAGAGCAATTTTTGAGGTCAGCTCTATTTTGTAGCAAGTGCAGAGCTTTTTAGTTCTAGCTATTTTCCGAGGTTATTGCTAACAAAGAATCTCAGATCAGGGTGTGACTTCCAAACTAAAGTCTTTGCATTAAATTTCTTTCAGCTAGCCACTGCCCAGCACAGCAGCCAGGCTGCCAGGACTTTGCCATCTCCCCTAACTATAACTCTGTAATATTTGAAATAGAATTAACAAGAAACAAATATCTCCGGGGGTCTGCAAATGAGAACTGGGGCTGGAACCCAAACACTGCAGTCAGTGTATGCCCATCACAAACACAGCTGCTCACATACAGCTTTGAACCTGCTAATGAGGGATTGGCAGCTCACCAGGGGAGCAGAGCTCATCCACCCTTCTCACGACCTGCGGTCCCAGTTATAGACACTTGAATCTGTGTCTTTCTGCTTTGTAGGTGAGTGTCGATGGCTGAGTCACACCAGCTCTCAGCTCTGCCTTCCCCCTTCCCTTATCTGTCATGCCCTCGCTCAACTGAGGGCAAGAAGGACCAGCTCAAAGGAAAAGAGGCACAGTCCACTGCCTTTGCTGTGAGATAAGAGGGCACATACCGATGGTTACTGTGAGCCAGCTGACGCATTACAAGTTCACACCCAGCTTATCTGGTCGTAGCTTGTTTTGTGCACCTGAAATGAGCTGAAGGAAAAGTCTACCAGACTGCCCTTCTACTTAGCACAGTGCTGAATTAATGAATCTGAGCTTGCACACAAGTCTGTATCACCAAAAATCTTTTCTTCCTTCATTGCATGCAGCATCATATACTCAGAATTACTCCTTCTACACAGTTCCATTTGGTTGATACTTAAGTACCCACCCAGGCTGATTTACCTTGATAGCACAGTCCATTTTCTACACATTTATTCATGAAGCTCTTATAACTGCTGGCTGGAAATACATCAAATTCAAATCTAATGCTATCCCAGTTAAAAAAGAAAAAAACAAACACAAAACCCCCTCTCTACCCAAGGATGAGAATTTTATTCTGCTCTGAACAGTAAGCAAACACTTAAATGACTAAAAAAGAAAGGGAATGATTTAAATGAAAACAAACAAAAAAAACCCCAAAGGTTATGTTAATGTTAACATGGGGAGACCAGTCCTGTGAAGGGATCCATGATGGCAGAGTCCTGCCGTGAGCCCCTCAGGCCTGAGGCTGAGCTCCAGTAGAAGACCTATGAGGTCTGAATGAAGGCCAGAACACTCTGTCACTTGAAAGACTAAGCTTGTGCTCCGAGCCAGGGCTGTGAGGTGACACAAAGAGCATTGGTCCCAATCCTGCAGCAGCAGTGGGACAGTGTAGTGTGGAAACTGGGCACAAGGCCAACCATGAAAAAAGGGAATAAGTAAGCACTCTGCAGTAAGTACAAACCCAGACATCTCAAGCTACAAAATGGAACTGATTTCTTCTTCTTTTTGTGTGGATCTTTGCCACCCATACAGAGTGTCAGTGGTGTGGATGAAGACTTCATGCAGAAGGGTTCACTCTGCCACCTCCTACTACACGTCATCTGCAGGATCATTTCTGTAAACATCTTATCTAGGCTGCAGGATCCATGCAGGATCCAAAGCTTGATTTGTATCGAGCTTTGCTTAGGTTTTGGCTCTCAGCATAGGATTCACCCATATCAGAAAGTTCCTTAAGACCTTGATAAGACCTCAAGGATCACTTCAGCCCATAACCAAGTCTTTGTGAAAGTCACAAAAAGAAATCTCTGCTGCTCTCCAGCACTGCTGCATAGTTTTCCTTTCTGTCCCCATCTCCTTGAATTAAACAACCTGCACTTTAAAATCCTTTGTTGGACGCAATGTATCGTTCTCATGCTGGGGAGCACCATTTTGATTTCAGGCTTATTTGGGAAAATCTGTTCTCAGATCCGTGTGCTGTGGTTAAGCTCTCCCAGCATGGTTGGTTTTCTTTCCCACTGGCTGCTGCTGGCTGCTGGGCAGAGTGTCTGTTTTGCTGCCACATCCTTCATCCACAAACGCAAAAGAGTCTAAGGGCTGCCCAGGGGGTTCCCCTTCCTTATAATCTCTCTCACACATATGCATGGATTATCAGCATCAGAAGAGCTGAAGATGTAAAGACTAAAAACATCCTCCAGAAATAAATTAATGTGCTGGAAGAAATTACTGCCTACAGGAGCTAGGGGTCTGCATACGTGACTCTATTCAGAAACAACACTACCTTAACAAGAGTAAACAAGCGAAAAAACAGCAGTGGTGATTCAGGTTAGCCATAATGTTACAACCCATATAGGGCTGGACACTGCAGTCATTGTTCAGGTGGAATTCCTGCTGAAGTCCATGGGTTTTTGTGGGATTATATTAATTGCACAAGTACATCTGCATAGTATTCTGCCGTTAATCCACATACGAAACTCCAGGTGAAGGTTGAAATCCCTGTTACTTCTATGTAATACTGCTACTGTCCTTCAGCGTCCTCTGCAAAGCACAAATGCACACATGCACTCATATACACACGTGTTGTTCTTGCCATCAAGCCATGCTATGAGTCTCTGTTTCTTATCTGTGATCTTGTCTCAGTATCCATCTCCCCATTTCCAAAGGTGCACGTCAGTGCCTCTTGCTGTCTTTCTGCTCTATGGAAGTGAAAGGCTGAAAACAGCATTGGTGAGGCCAAAGCTGGGAAGGTTACTGATGGGTAGAAAGTTTCAGTAGCAGAATGTGCTGGAGGACAGTCAGAATTTGGCAGGGAGCTTTCAGAAGCCTTGTCTAGAATTTGTAAATGCCCTTCTAAAACAAAGACCAAAACTTGAAACAATGCTTTTACCTGCAGACAATTTATAATGAGATGAAGATGGAGCAGTATGGTTTCTAACTTCTTAGTCTTCCTCTGAAAGCTCAGATAGCAGAGTTTTTCAAGGGGGAGGCAGGAAGAAAACTGTTCTTGTGACCTCCAGAAAGAGATGGCTGACCCCAGTCAGCTGCAGCTTCCTGAGTGATAAAATTTATATTGCTACAAGGACTGCACAAAGAAAGAAAGAAAGAAAGAAAGAAAGAAGAAAGAAGAAAGAAAAGGCCCAGTCTCTGCATCCCCATCACTGACTGAGATGAACAGGAAGTAAACATTATCCAATTTCTTTCTAGAGAAATTTTTTTCTAGAGAAGCCCATACAACCCCACTGACCTGGTGCTGTTTGGGATTGCAAGGACCTGGTACTTCAGGTTTTTTACAAATTGAGCTGACACAGAGCAGCAATGTCACAAGGGCAAGAATTAAATTCACTGTCGTTGCCCAAGGACCAGAAGAGATCCCAGGTTCAATGCAGCTGAAGGATGTGATCCCTCAGATGTTTATGATGTATCCAGGAATTCAGCTGTCCCCAAAATATTTTGTTTCCTCAAGTACTTAAGTATCATGTGGCATCAAGAGCTCTGGGATAGGTGGCTGCACCTGAAAGGAATGTGAAGAACGTTGTATAGGGAGATGCAATGCCCACAAAGACGTAACCTGCAAGGATAGTCCTGGGCTACCAACGTCTTCAAATGTAATGGCTTTCCCTCTGTGGCTGAGGAGGAAAGTCATCTGTCTATATTAACTTCGAAGGATGACAGTATCCTTTCTCAGCATTAGCCTTTTTTCGGACTTCTTGCAGAGTGTCAGACTGGGATACCATCAGGTCGATTGGGAAGACTCCATTCATGGTAAAATATGGAGAAAAAACAACCGAGGGATTTTTGTCCCCTTGTCTGAAAGGAGAAGCTCAATTACTCCAGTCAGGAACTCCCAACCTCAGCAATATTCCTCTCCTTATTTTGAAATTTGTAAGTTGTGCCTCTTAAGCATGCTGAGTTACACATACATTAACTAGAAAAGCACAGAAATAAATGAGGTGTAGCAGGCTTTGTAAATAAATGGATAAAGTGCCAATACAAAAGAAAAGGATTGCTGAAAAGTTCAGAACATTTTTCCATGCCAGTGGCTGTGATCTGCTCGCTTGGAACTAGGAGCCTCACTGCTGCTGAGATGTGCAGCATGCAGTCTTTTGCATGTTCATGGCCTGACTCTTCAAATGACGTTGAAATGACAATTTTCAGACCAAATTGTGATGGCAACTAGCCAAGGATCAGATGAGCTCTCTCTGGCAATGCTTTCATACATTTCTTACCCAAATGGCAGCTTAACCAAGAGCCTGCAAAGCTAAAATTCAAAAATAGGAGGCAATGGGAGGAAGTCCAAGGCTGATTTTTTTTCCCCTTCTTGTAGCTATCAGAAGAAGGAATGCTCTAGTATAGGCCTGAGTGGTCTAAATATGAGTTTAGGCAATGGTGTTCAGCAGACAGCCCCTGATGTGTGAGGTGCCATTGCAGGAAACTCTGCTATGAGGACTGTTGCACTGCATGATATGAGGGCTGAAGTCATGGTGCCATGACAGAAACTCCTTGATTAAGTCCCAGCTGTAGCCAGGCACTAATATCGTTGCTCCTTCCAGGTGCATCCTGGGCAGGGAAGTCCAGAATGAAGCTTCCAGCCATGCCACCCCAAGACAGCACAGAAGCCAAGTCAGAGCCAGCAACAAGTAGCTGGGCCTCATGCATTTAGACTAGAAAGCAGAAAGAAAAAGGCAATGCAGGACTGGGAAAGCAGAGCTGCTAGGCCAACCTCTGCCAGTTTCAGGAGCTTGTATTTACTTGGACTTACAGTTTCAGCCATTTAAAGGGAAGTGAAGAAGCAAAGCGCAGTCGGAGGGCAGCAAACCCCGAGGAGATCCCCACTAGAGACAGATCAGAAGAAACAAGAAGGAAGTAAAGCCATCTCCTGTCTGGCATCCGATCTGATATTGGCCGTAGAGGAATGAAGAAGAATGACAGCGTTAAAAAGGAGATCACATCCTCCAAAGTTTAGCCAATCTGTCAAGAAAAACTGTCCTCCATAGCAGTAGCAGAAGATGGAAAGAAGCAAGAAATGTGATCTCAGTATGATTTTTTTTTTTGTCTTAAAGAGCCTTCCTCTTCCTCTCTCCTGCTTTCATCAGCTCCTGTGAAGAAAATTCACACCAGCTGTCTAGGTGACGGGGATTGGTCTGCACACAGAGGAAAGTGACAACGAATAGGGCGCCTCGAATCACAAACTGAAACATAGACAAAAATAAAACCTTATGATTGACCCAGTCAATCCCATTCCTCAAGCAAAAAAAATCTTCTGAAGGTTTCACAAAGTGAAAACTTCTCTGCACTGCAATAGGAATGCAGCTGATTTAAACAAATGGAGTTGATGTATTCCGCGGAGCGTATTTCTTGCCTAGGTATATCCTGTATCATGTTAAGTAAACTTTCATATATAAAGCAGCTTAAGTCAGTTTTAAGTTATATTTGCTTTCCTGTCCCTGTTAAGTGTTAAAAGATCATGGTATTCAGAAGAACAGAAGTGTCATTATTTTTGAGGCTCAATAACACGTTATATATTACAGAAGCTTATATTTCTCCAACATACAGGAATATGAGTCTATATTTGATTAACATAGAAAGACCCTTACCAGAAAGTGAGTAATCTGTATTAGTCATCCTCATGGCTGGAGTATAAGACACACTTGGCATGTCATGGCCCTTCTCCTTCTGTTTCCGTCGATACCACACAAACAGTGCCAGCAAGACCATAATAATTAGAAGGAGAATAATAATTCCAATGATTGCTCCCACTGAGTGCCTCTCTGATCCAAGAGCAGGGCTAATTTTAGTATAGGGGTTTAATTCTTCCATCATAAGAGCCGCTGTTAAAAGTAATTCATAACACACTGTAAATTGAATCGTGCATTTCATTTTTGAAATACTATTTTTTTAAAGCAAGTGCATCATTGGAGGAGGAGAGAGAAAGAGAGAGAGTGAGAGAGAGAGAGATTTCACAGGTAGAATTTCACTGTACCTTGATCACATCGGATTCCTTTGAAGCCTGGACTGCAGTAGCAAGTACCTGTGACATGGTCACATGTAGCATTATTCATGCATTCACATAGTTGTTTGCAACCATAACCAAATGTTCCTGGTGAGCACTCTGGGAAGCCAAAGAAAAAGATTGGAACGAATTCTACTTTTTTGGGGAATGGGTGAAATGCTTGCTATGGAAAATTCAGTAGAAAAGTCTCCCTGGTTTCAGTGTCTCTAGGATAACACCCTAGTGTTAGATTATTATTATTTTAAAGCAGGAGATAAATATATTTCATGTACCATTTAGGGTATTACTTATTAAGCTGTAACTTTCTGGAAAAGTCACACAAGATTTCACAAGGATGAAACCAATAATATGTACAGAGACTTTAAAAGGCTTGATATATATTACAAGTGTACAGAATTTAACAGGGCATGAGCTCAGAAGCTGTAGACCACACCTTGAAAGAGCATAGCATTCTCCACCAACTCTGCACATTTTTTTTCATGGGGTAGTTGCAAAGAAAAGTTTTAATGTACCTTTATATGAACACAATAGACTTTTACCAAACAAATCCCACATGCCTTCATACTTATCCCTACTAGTGCTAGAAGATGGATATAACATTGTAGGTGGAATTACAGAATTGAGCATCTGAATGGTTTGATTTGCTCTGCTTCTGTATTAGGGTTCCTAATATAGAAGGAATTTCTATCCTGTCTTTGTATTTCTATCAAAGACAAAATGATTGAATGTCCAGCTGAGAAATTTATTCATACAATTACCATGATAGGCTATTACAATAAATCTGTAGGCAGCTTACTATACTTCTTGAGGCACTATTCAATAATAAATTGAAAGAAACAACTTCTGTCACATCCTACTTATTTCTATGGAGAAGACACATTATTGAATGCATGCACACTTGCTATGATTCTTTAGAATATATATTGTTTGTTTTAAGATGTAACTTCTTGTGTGTCACTGCAAATGTTTTGCATAGCATGACGATACCTTCCCAATGTCAGTCTCTAAGTAACTTCTAGTAGCCAAAATTTAATATTAAATAATGAACAGTAGCCAATATCTGTATAATGATTTGCAGTGCGTATTAAAGTTGTATCTCTTTCTTTCATCTGCAGGTCCCCAAACAAGGAAAAATAAAATTATTACAATTAATGCTCATTCTGATATTAACCTGAAGCCTACTGAAAATGGATAAGGCCTGAAATTTTGGAACGCACCACAAATGTCTGCATCTAGGCATTTCATCTGCAATGTGGTGTGACTGCCCATTCAGCAGAATTTTGAGAAGGAAGGAGTCTTAATGAAGAGATACTTTTAGACTAAATAGTAGAAAAACAAATAAATAAATACATTCGTAGTTTGGATAGAAAAGAAAGCCTCAGGCTTTTGTACAGAGGTCAAATTATAAATGTAGCTGCTTGTATAAAATCTGCTACGATGCAGTTCTACTATGGACATTTTAGTTTCCTATTTTATTTATGGTTGCAGTAAGGGTGTACACAAATTCACAGTTAGTTGGCCACTTACAGAGTTACAGTGGTGCCATAGGTAATCCCCACATAAGCATGCAAAGCTGGGCCTGAGATACATGCTTTGCTGAACACAAGTATGTGCAAAAAGAAAAGATGTTCATGAATTTAGTTATATGTACAAATATTTTCATAAAGATCCATGTGGTAAGCTACAGTTCAGAAGCTTTCACTTGCAAATCTAGCAGGAATGTTACTGTATTACCTTACTGCCAAAAAAAGGAACAAAACCCTGTGGAATTAATGCCTTGGTAAGGTGAGATGGATTTCACCTTGCATTTAGAATCCAAGTAAGTGTGTGAGAATTTTCTTTTGATTTACTATACTGGACAAATAAGTAGTTATTCAACTACAGCACATACAGTTTCCACTACCCTAATTCTTTGTTCTTAAAAGAAGCCATTTGGCACAGTGTGCTAAATATGCCAGCAAGACATTGACAACAATTACAGTAAGATATGCCAGTACCCTTGCAAGGTAGTTGAAATTCATTGTTAAACACTTGCTCACTACTCAAGTTAAACACAGATCCTTCCAAAAACTGCAAGCAACTTTTTTTTCCTTGATCTGTTTTCATTGTGAAGATGAATCTTTATTTGGTCCACATCTATAGCATAACAACTTATGCAAGAAAGTCCAAATTTTCCTTGGAAGGCAGAGAGCAGAAAGGACTTCTTTCTTTTAACCCCTCTGTCTTCCTTCGTGCCTAGGGAAACCTGATGCTGCTGCTCTCAACAACGGTAGCAAGGCATGATGCAGCTTGCGTTTTTCTATTAATTAGGTACAAGTTGTTTGGGAAGGCTACATCCAGTCAGCACGAGTGCAGCGACTTGCTTTTATCTCGCCTAACTTTAGGCTGGGAATGGAAAGGCCTAATTTGCAGAGGATTCACTATATTTCTTTACGCTTAAACAGACTGTCCAGCTTTCCAGAGATGCCTTCTTCTCCCTATGGATTATATAAGGTGCCTGGGGTTACTGTCTTGCTGACATCAACACCTCATTTAAGAGCCTATTTCTGCAAAGAATTCTGAAATACATCCCCCCGGAGAAATAGAAAAATGAAGTCATGTCGCTACTTACTTTGCTCACACTGTTTGCCTGTAAACCCAGTCCTGCATGTACACTGGCCAGTGATGTGGTCACAGTCCGCTCCGTTCTGACACTGACAAACATTGGCACAGTTTTTTCCATAAAAAGCAGCTGGGCAACCTTTCAGGAATCAGAATAAGGAAAGACTAAGAAATAAGCTGAAACACAAACTCAGATGCGTTATCAGCACAAACTATGTAGGCCTATAAATCTATGGATTTTCAGCCTCTGTATATTTAATAACATTTATTTGATCATCCACTTGCAGAGATACTACGACAGCCAATTTTCTTGAAGTAGTGTTTCTCATATCTTACAGAATTGCCTCTTAAGTGTTTCAGAAGAACGAAAACTTGACCCATCTATACAAACTACATTTTCAAAAAGTGAAAGAAGATGGCTAAACAGAAACTCTCTAAAAGGCCAGAGATCAATCAATTACTTGCAAGTGAAAGAGCCTTCTTAACAGGCTCACCAGAATTTGATCTCCTCTTTCATATAGTGCTGATAATTTGGCACTATTAGGATGAGAAATCTCAGACCACGTATACTGGGGCTTTGACAAGCAGGGACACAGACTATGCAAATTCTGACAATGATTCAATAATCTAAATGATTGGTCCCTCCTTTATCGAGTGCCAAAGGCATAAAAAACCTTGAAAAGCTTCAGGACTATTTTCTTCGGGGTGATGTGAAGTTATCACAAGTAAGAAGCAGGTGGTTTAACAGGGAAGACTGCAATACTTGGAAGAGACACGAGGTAGCAGCACATACTTTGACAGATTCCCTGGCACAACAGTGTCTCTGAAAGGCTTACGCTGAGTGCAGTAGAGCCCCGTCCAACCACGAGTACATCTACATTCTCCATCGTAAGGGCTGCACATTGCTCCGTTGTGGCAGTTGCATGAATGAAAGCAATCAGGGCCCCAAAAACCAGTGGGACAAGCTATGAAAATAAAAAAGATTTGTCAGCTGACAAAAAAAGCAATGATACTGCGTTAGTGCTGCGGAGGAACAACAAAGGGACAACCTGTGAGACACCAGCAAAGGCAGAGCTTTGCATTGCAGAGCTTGGCATTGCTGCAGCGACTCCCTGACAATGACCAGTTCTTCCAAGCCAACGATTGTTTTGCAAACCCAGGTGCCAGCCTGCAACCTCACCCATGCTGTCAAGCCCTGGCACAAAGGATTTCTTTCCTGTGTAGGTCAGGTGGCACGATCAGGTCTTTGCTGCATATGTGCACTGAGAACCACTGAAACAGTGACCCTCGACACTACATTACTCTAAGTGCTCTAGCCACTCTCCCTGCCTTACTGGCATTATCTGTGAAGACAATTTAGACAGATTAAGATATGGAGGTAATTTAATTTTCTTTTTGATATTCTGGAATTCTTGCATAATAAAGCACAGCTATTCATGGTTTACTTTTGCTATGCAATCAACTACTGAAATTACCACATTCATTTGAAGCATAGAGTGCTACTCAAATTAGCTAAGAATGTAAAGAAAACTTCTTACAGTATGAATTTCCATCCACAAAATCAGAGTGCTTTTGTTGATGGGGCTAATATTAAATTAAAATCTTCAGGTCTATTACATATTTCAACAAGTACAATATTAATACATTTTCAAAAGTTATTTTAAGTGTCCCTCCAAAAATGAATACAGTAAGTTACAGTTATTAGTGCCAGACTAAAAGATCCAAAATGATGATAACCCTTCAAGATAACAACTATATTTTTGCTTTAAAAAGCACTTCCCATTGCTTCCTATTAAAGACATGAATTAATAAGGCATGGTTCCCAGGAAACCTGAAAGTACAGAAACCGTGCCTATTTCCATGTATACCATTGGCTCAAATTCTGACTATAAATACAAGTTTCTGGCATATGACAGACATCTCTAAAGCCAGAATGAATAGCAAAAAAACCCTGCCATGACGTAAATCAAACAAAAGGTCACCGAACTCACACAATGTAAAGCTGAACAGGATTTGGCCTAAAGTATTCATGCTATAAGCAACCAGAAGTACTTTCACAATGCCTTTGTAAGCCAGAGCTGCAGGGTCTGTTAGTGTCTCCAGAACTGGCTCTGGAGTTGGAGCTAAAATTATCTCCTTTGCAGCTCCGTCTCTCGGTCATTCCAGGTTAACTGGTGCGGAGGGAGGTCTGACCGAAATAGCTCAGTACCGGACTTGGGTATGCGAGGCCAGGTTCCGACAGAAGCCTGGTGTGAGGCCAGGTTCACGATGGGAGATTGACATTTTCTTTACGAGAAGGTAACTGAGGAAACAGTCAGGTTCCCACTTTGTTCATCTAAAATACAAAGTAGCTATCGCCAGGTCCTTCTGCCTGCTAAACTGGAAATTGTTGCTGCTGAACTGGCCTGCTTCACTCTCTAAGAAAAAACATCTTTTTTCAAGGTTAAGAGAAACTAACAGTCATTTCCCAATTACATGGCTAAATATAATGAGGAATCTGTGGAGCTTTCTGTCTTTTTCTCTTTTTTCTCTGTTTTTGAGTGACAGCAATATTCTGCCTGTGGAAGATACACAATAAAAGCAAAATTACAGCCGTCTGTTTTTATCCGATTCCTACTTTATCACTTGAAGTTTAATATATTTTACTCTGGAATGCTGTCTAATATGCTAGTTGTATCCTGAATATGAAGTAACATTTCTGAATGATAGGATATTGCTTCCCTCTGTGATCTATCTTCAATTAAGGGATGCTCTCAGGAAATGACACTCTGGGATCAGCAAATGCCAATCTTTTACCAGGGCAATTTGCAAGAAGAAATCCTCCATCCCTCCAAGCCCACACTGACTTTTACAATTAAATTACATTTAATAGAAACATTTCAGCTGCCTAATTTCTCAGTTCTGGGGGCTTGGACATGAAAACCATTTACTGGTTAATAATTTCTAATGTAATAGCTGAAAGAAAAGGATTTCAAAAAATAAATAAAAAGGAATCCAGCTAGAAATTAAAAGGGAGCATGGTGTAATAGCTAAAAGAAAAGGATTTCAAAAAAAAAATAAAAAGGAATCCAGCTAGAAATTAAAAGGGAGCATGGAGCTTTCTTTTCTGATAAGAGCTTGTGACCTCCCTTTCCTGTAATAGAAGCTAGTAACGGCTTCTGCAAATTCCAAATGCAGAAACTAATTCAAGCCAAAGTGAACTTAGATTAATTAAAAGAAATAAGCTATAAAGAGAGTAAGGCACTGGCTGCTGTAATACTTCAGCGATTTCCCCAGAATCTGTCTTTAACTTTCAGAAAACACTAAACAGGAAAATATGTTATTTTAAAGCAGAGGTGGAAAAATAACACTTTGCTTACTCTGAGAGCAGTCCGTCCCTATCCAGCCTGGAAAACACTGGCATGATCCATCAATAGGATTGCACGTCCCATTCTCGGTGCAGAGACAGACATCGGCACAGTTCTTCCCGTATTTTCCACTGGGACAGACTGTGAAAATATAAGGCAGTTTATTGAAGGCTCTTCATGATGAGTATGAGGAAGTCATAGGACTTGACATTTAGCAATTAGAGATAAAAGTAATTACGACATTTTTCTTTGCTGAAGCCAAATGGGCAAAATTCTTCTGGAAAGAAGGAAAAGGCAGAAAGTATTCGAGTCCATTTTGTTTGCTTACATCCCAGGCATAAAAACAACAGGAAAAAGTCATGTCAAAATCCATTTTTCTGCTGGACAATGAATCTAATATAGTTAGAAGATTACAATTATTGAAGAGCATTATGGAAGGATGGAAAGAGGAGAGACAAGGGGAATAGGGGTTATTGGGAGAGGAAGAGAACAATAAAGTTGAGAAGAATTTGAAGAGTAGTGGCAAACACAAGTAAGTGCCTAGAAGGGATTGATCTGGGGACTTTGCCAAGGGGGTCCCTCGGTGCAAACCCTGAAATAGGGATCTGCGCTGGCTCAGAGGATTACAGCTTCAACAATGAGAACAAGAGAAATAAGAAAGGAACATTTTAGGCTAAATATCAGCCTAGCGAAGAAGTCTCAAGAAGATGAAGAGCAATGGGGACTCTTACTTTCAGGTCTGTCACTAGAACCTAACTAACTCCCTTGTTTTGTACGACTGATAATTACAGTAATAATGGACCAAAAGCTGCAAACCTTACTACCTGGTATGATGGCCTGACATACTAGCTGTGGGTATTGTACTAGGAGGCCAGTGCCCATGAAATGGCTGGTGGCAGATAAGCTTGCAAGGAGAGACTGAAAGAGCTGTAGTCCTTTCTCTGCTATTCCACTAGCACCACAAAATGCATCATGCATCATGTGGCACTGCAATATGGCATATGCTAGAGTACCTACCTCATGACTGTCCTGATTCCTTCTGGATCAAATAGTGGTGAGAGAAGAAGGTGCCTTTTGCTACTAAATACACTAGGCTTTGCTGAAGATCAACTTTCAGCAATGTTGGTGGGAGGCAGGCTCCCAGCATCTCATAGAATCAAATCATTCAAGTGGAGAGTAAACCAGGAGCAAGACTGCCACTTCCATAAGTATTTTTACCATATAAGTCTGGAGGAAGACTAGTCCCACAAATAAAGCACATATCCAATTGCTGAAATGTCATGCTTGTCTTTTGGCATCCATCCACCTATTCATCTCCAGCACCCCTTGCTGTAGTAAGTGTTCAATTAGGTTGCAAATGGTGGTTTCCATGCATGATATATATCTTTGACTGAGAGTTGTTAAACAGATATGCTGCATCCTAACAAAATCAGGGTCTATTCCTGTTGGTCCACCTAGCTTACTCCTGAAGTTGGAAGAAAAGAAACTCTATAATTTTTTTTCAGTCATCTTATAACAGCCTAAGCACAGTGACATAAAACTAATAGACACGTAGATCTTCAACCTCCCATCAAATTATTGGAAATCTTTAACGTTAAAGTTGATGGAAAGCTTTGCTCAGTAATGAATGAAATGTTTAATTTCTGTGCTCTTATTGGCTGTGTTCTCTGACAAAAACAGATGTATTTTCAAAACAAGATAAAACATACAGTCCATCTTTGCAAAGAATGTAACAAATGGAACTGGACTTGTACCCCAGTAAATAATAGTGATGTCAAAAAAGTGATTAAGGCACTTCCTTGAATTATGCAACTGTTTTACCACTTCAGCCATTCTCACTTTCTCATATGTAGTCTCTGCAGGTGACCTCAATCTATCCTGACTGTGAATCAGCTACAGATTGAAATCCTGAGCTGTGATTCATTTGCTTTTACACAATATGCCATCCTCTACTCTTACCATGGCAGAAACCTATGGCATACCATTGTTTTCTGCATGCATTTCTATATACTGTGGACTTATCTGTAGGAGTGGATAAAGTTGGTTTTGGCTTTCAAATTATATGCTAAACAGTATAGTTCTCTAACTGAAAAGAGATAAAACTAAACACAATATACAGACACAATGAGAAGAACAATACACAGACACAAAGAGAAAGAGAGAGAAGGAAAGAAAAGCCCTCATATCACAGAAAAAGCAAAAACTAAAATGATGTGTCAGCCTAGGTTCTCATACGTGCTACACCATTATTCAGTTCCAATGCTCTATATAGAGCAGTTCAATGCAACATTTTTATTGCATCTTTAAGATGGAAAAATAGTTCTCGAAAGACTTAGTTAAAATAGGAGCTGATTTGCACTGCAACATGGAATACTAATGAATCATGAAAAGATTTGTGATCCAAACACTGCTGCTGACAAAGGCAACAGGTCGTACTTTATAAAAGAAATGCTTCGGTTCCACACAGTGGGAGCTAGCAGAGGGGTTCCTACCATGTAAGCACCTCTTGTCTCCGTGAATTGTATGATGCCCTCCAGAGTGTCAACACAGAAGGATTACAAAACCGATCCTGCCAAAATGGTTCTTCTCATTAATTTAAGTAACCTGGTTGTGGATTGACACAGTGACTCTCTTGTAAAGATGCGAGATCCAAATACAAGAACTTTTTCAAATGTCTCAAACATTTTTTAAAAAAGCTGTAAAGTAAGGGCTAATATCGCTTTCTTCAGGAGCAATCTGATTGTACAATGCAGATAGTGATTTTAATTAGCTATGAAAGCTCTGAAGTGGGACTCCAAAAGTCCCTGTGGGATGTCAGGTGTGTTCTAGCAGTGATAACAAGTTATTATCAATACATCTTGCTACATGATTGTGAAAGATATTCATAAAACAGCTGCTTAGTTGTCTGCTGCTCAGAATCCTCAGCACGACCATGTCAACCTGTGCAATTTCAGAGGTTACACAGCTCCTCACATGCACGTGCTGCTGATGGAAGAATGTTCCTGCGCCAGAGAAGATATGGCACAAGGAGATGAAAATTCAAAAGTGAAATCTTTGTTTCACATTTTTCTAATGGAAAACATTAATTAGCATTTTTCTTTCTACAAAATAAAGTTACATGCTAACTCATTATGACAAACTGCAACACAAATTGATTTTAATTAGGACATGAATATTTTAAAATTAATTTGCTGGATAGATCAACATTTCAAAGTAAAACCAGAAGTGCTGAACATCTGAGCAAAAATAAAATAGTTTTCTTAAGAGGATAATTAGCCCTGCTTACGCTTTGAAATCTGGCTAACTTTTCATATAAAATGGACAAATTCACTGAAATATGTTCATTTTAATAAATTAATTGGTATAATGTTTAGTTGACTATACAACACAGGAAAAAGAAAACATGGTTATACTTAATCGATGTTTAATGATTTTGCATAAGTGCTGTCTGCAATTTCTGACTTACTGAAAAGCAGGTCATTAAAAAGTGTCAGTTCAATTTTTACAGGGACGGTGACTTCACAAGGGCAGTAGCCATTACAAATAATCTCTTTTAAATCTGAATGTAGAAAATACCCACAGTAGTATGCAATAACTGAGACTCTGCAGAATACTGTAATGATTTTGCGGGCATTTTTAGGATAAAACTGAGAATGAAACCTATGGTTAAAAGTGGACTAACTTTCAAAGGTACAGAAAGCTGACGGACAATAGGGGGAGTTGAAGCTACTCTTTCACCTGTGAAAAACCACTGCAAATTTTTCTGTATCCTGCACTTGTGTTTGGGTACGCAAGATTTTAACTATTCCCAGTCAGGTCCTTGACAGTGTAAATAAGTGCATTAACTGGGTGTTTGGGCTTGTGTACCTGAGCTGGCCTTTATCTTAACTACTATCTACACCTCCTGCTGAAAAAGAGTGCATGAAGGTGCCATCGACATTTAGGATATGGTAGGCTTAGCAGAAAGGAAAATGAAACCATTGGATGGCTGATATATTTACAGCAGGTGTCTCATTCCATTTTCATTTCAATACAGAGCAGCAGACCTGTTTTATTTATGAAAGCAGGAACACATCATATTTACAAAAGGGTGACTAAGTACCTATTTGCATTTTCACTCTGAAGTAAAGAATTTCTTGTGATCTAAACTGCTGAAACAAGGAAAAAAGGCAGCAACCTTGTGATCAGTCTTGCTGCAAAGTCACAGGCACAGAAACTTAGGAAAGGAGGTGGCATCTGGGGGTCTTGGGCTCAGTACCTTGGTTGCAGAGAGCGCCAAAGAATCCAGGCAAGCAATCGCAGTGTCCTGACACGTGGTGACAAGGCCCGCTGCTGTGCACACACTGAGGGCATGGCTGACTGCAGTGGTGTCCATAAAAGCCAGGGGGACAAACTGAAGAGAAAACAAAATAAGCTGTCACGGGTTTTCAGAAGATTTGTCATTGCTGAGAGCTTGAGAGTTCTCTCTCTGTCTTAATCCCAAACCAATATTTCTTAATTTATAAAACCACAATTTTGGGAACAGCTGAAATTATGAAGCCTGTTGGATTATTCCATGTCTAATAAAGTGCAAGCTCTGAGTAAAACTGCTCCTGTGGTTCAAACATTCACACTATCCTACCTCATGTAAGTCCTTAGCTATTTAATAATACAGCAGAGCTCTCTCAGAAGCCTTTCTCTCTCAAGACACTAATTTGAGTCCCTCTAACCTGCTCCAACTAAACTCTTTTATAAAACATGGGAGTTTAAGATGTTCAAGACCTCATAGCCCACTGACAGATATGGTTAATAACACATATTCCAAAGCTTTTAAGATGGGTAGGAAGAGAAACACACACACATGTACAGACAACAGAAACTCAGAATGCCACTTCCTTTGGAAATTAAGCTGAGAGATCAGAGAAGGTGTATTAGGAAACTCTCAATATTTTACATCTAAACCACTATGTCAAAAAGCTGATTTCTAAATATTAGGTGCAATACCTGTGTTCAATTGGGACAGTCAGTTTATACATGCCATTGCAGGAGCAGCACCCATCAGTGATGAACAGAATCTAAAAATGGTAATTACAGTAACAGCATACAAAATCACCTAATTTGCATCAGTAATCACACTGGATAGCTGAGTAAACTTGTCATGAACTGTGTGCTTAATTTGCTTAAAACCTGGATTGAAATTATTATAGAATTTGTACATAAGGTATAGTGCCAAGATTATGGCTCAGTATCTCTTATAAATGCGTATTGTTGCTTCTAAGCACATGTAGAATGAAAAACCACCCACTGCCCAAACATTCACTGCGATAGATAAGCACAAAGAAATGTTAAATTGCAGTAAGTAACTGTAAAAATGACTTTATATGTTTTTATTTTTACTCCTGTGGTTCTCTGTTATATAGTTCTGGCTCAGTGGTTACTATATCATGTCCATTTTATTTTTTCACCGAATGACAATTTTTCTCTTGGTCCATATGTTCACAGACCATGTCAGGTTCTTACAGCACCGCAGATTTCCAGCTGGAACTTAGCTGACAGGTTTGTTGATGATGCACTAGCTATAAAACAACCTGGATCATTCCTGGAGACATTTCTGCAGGCCTAAGAGCAGTAAACTATCCTGGTGTCTCATGTAATCCTGATTACACAGACAGAACAAGCTGGCTGAGTATCATCTTGAGTACTGCCTTTTACAGGCTAAATTCTGTTTCTAAATGAATTTCCAAGAGAAAAATGGGAATGATTCTGAGAGCAAACTTATCAGGCGAAAGCTACCTTCACCTACGGATGTGTCCTCTTCACAAGGTAGTCTTGAGCCTGAACCTCTCAGAAGAGGTGGGTGCAAGCTGAATTCCCTGGCCGTGTATTCAAGAGAGGCATTTCAGCAACATGAAGCAATAGCAGAAGCATCCACAGAACCCCTCTGCTGTCACCCCAGTGGGTAGGAAAATTTTTCCCCATTAGGTCCTCAGCAAATGTCCTCAGGGAGCAGCCTGATTACTAGAGTTGCAAGCTGTGGACGTGGTTTGCCTCTTGTAGCCTACATGCCATCGGCTGATAAAACTAAGCTGTTTTTTTCATCTCAGAAAGGTCAGAAACTATTAACTTCTGGAAGTTTTGCACTCTTAGGGTTTCAAATTTGTAAAACAATTTCTTCCCCAATTCCCTGAAGCTCTGAGCACCACATTTTAGCCTTGGAGAGTGGTTTTACAGCTATATAGATATGCTGAAGCACCTGGAAATTGGGGTTTATAATGGAAATGCTTATAGGCCATTAACTACAGCAGTGCTAGAGGTCATTGTTATAATGGCTTTAAATAAAAACTGTCAGCTACAAATTATTTTTAGAGATGAGTGTGTTCTAGTGTCAAGTGTAACTGGTGAAATCAAAGGGGATACATGAACTGGGCATGCAGAATGTCTTACAGGAAGAACAAGAGCTGCTGCAGAAAAGAAAGACAAATCCATTCTTGTTTACACAGGAAGAAGGTTGCGTGTAGTTTGGATCAGTGAATAAGGGTCCCTAAGGGGCAAATGCAGCTTCCCAGATAAAGCAAATGAGAGGATTTTTATCTCCCTGGCATATTTTAATATGTAGCAGTAGAGCATCAGACAGGAGCTATTTCAGGCTGCTGTGTTTCTTTTTCTGGCATATAAGAAAACATTGTCGTGTTATTTTGATAGCCAACACTCATCCACTTCTCATTATGTGATGGGTCATAGCTGACTGTTTAATAGGTATCCTATAGTTTACCACTACTTAACTATAAATCTTTTTTTGCCCAGATCCTGCCAAGTTTGGTATGTAAAGGTGTTGCTCCTTCTTTCAGGTCACCTGTGACCTCCAGGTGCTGTGGAGGGCCAGAAGGAGAAACACAAGGCACGACTCAATGCAGTAGAGCCTTGACTTCTTGATCAAGAAGCATTTTTTAGGCTAGCTTTTGCCCTTAGGAAGTCATGAGCTAAAGCAGCTCAGAAACCTGTGGCTTTGTCTGTCCCTTGTCATAAATGAGCATTTCTACCTACTTTGCTTCTGCCACCACATCTATGGAAAATCTTACTTCTCTGGCACAAGGGTCCTCTGTATCCTGGTGCACAGTCACAGGAGCCATCCTCTGGGGAGCAGGATCCTCCGTTCTCACAGTTACAGGAGATGGAGCAGTTTGGTCCCCAGCGGCCCTGGGTGCATATATTGTCACAGTGGACACCTAAAGACGTAAAGGCACACGTTAGGTTTCACACAGCTTACTCTGCTCATTGATCAAAGAAATGTTTGGCTGGACTGATACCTCGCAGTACATCACAGAGCAAACAAGGGAGCCTGGAAAGGAAATAGCTATCCTTTTATCTGCTTAATAAAGTGAAAATTAAGAAAATGCCAAAGAGGTGAATTCTGTAGGTGTTAGTGGGCTCCTTTTCAGTCCTCCCACCATTAAAGAATGTCTGCATGTCATCTGAGAGATGAAGGTCAGGAATTGCTTTAAAGTCACAAAATGTCTCAAATAACTGGTCTGGAAATATGCAGTTGACTGAAGCCTGATTACGTAACTGTTGTGAATTGGAAGACCAAAAAAGGAAAAACAGAGTTCTGCAAAAACATGTCCAGTATTTGGATTCTTGAACATATGTAAATTCAATTCTATGCTATGTATTGTTCACTTCCTGGCTTAAAGCACTGTGCTTGGGGTTATTATGCATACAGCCCACATCCACCCAGAGCTCTCAGAATTCTGTGTTAATGAACTGAGTTCTGATCTAGCAAGTGGCCATATGTGGGCACAGGCTGATCATTTGCATGTTAAATGGAGACTGAGACCTGCCAATCCAGCTCCCAGTGATTCCCAGGGTTGTTGTTTGATATTTATTATTATGAAAAGCAAAGTTGGGAAACACTGAAAGAAGCACACAGCCAGAAAGCTTAACATGAGGCTTCTGGCATTGTTTCAACCGGTTTTGTTTTAAGTGGTGACTTTTAAAAACAACTTTGTGCCATGGCTTGTCACATATAAATGTAATCTAAGGATTTGATCCTGCACACCACTACTTGTCCGAGAGGCTCTTACTCCACTGGGAAAAGACAGTACCAATACCTGCAATTAGCAGAGCTATTTGCATGATCAAAGGATCCTTGGATTGAAAAAGGTTTGCAGGATCATGAACTAAGAGAGACATTAAGCACTGCCAGCTTCAGGAGTGGCACTAGCAGTAGCACACTGTAGATACTGATAACAACAGAAAAAATTAATCAATGACTGGCTTTGAAATTTTCCTAACAACATTACCACACCAGGTGCCTTACAACTGCGCCACCAAGGTTTGATGTTATACACATGCCCTAGCTAGACTTTCAACATGAAGATGTTCTTTATCATCCATGCACATGTCCCCACTGCATAATGGGATAAATGCAGACAAGGGCTCTGAGAGCCCCAGCCTCAGCCAGAGGTTGGATTAGTGCATTGCTAAGGAGAAATACAATCCCAAGTAATTTCCTCCACCTCTGATAACTTCATGTGGATGCTACAGGTAATGGACTGTATTTGTGAAGCTGTGATCTGTACAGTCACCAAACTTTGAGGATTATTAAATCAGCTAAAAGTCATTATAAACACACTTACAATGCAGTTTCAAGTTGGTTTTATAAATCTCTGAAGTTAATACAGTAAGAAATACTGCAGAGCCAAAATTTCTCTTTTCTGAAGATTAATCACACAATTATAATATCCCTTCCTAGAAAATCTTAACCAAGTCTGGCAAAAGTACAGTTTGAAATGGGGTTTCTAGTAATACATGATCATAGCTTTATTTATAAAGAGGCATAGTCCATGCTGTAAAGCTTAATAAAAAACACATTCAAATACAGTAAAAACATAATACAAGCTCAATCCCTTAATATCTAAAAAAATACATCTGAAAAAAAGGAATGCAAAAGAGACAATGAACATTTATATTAGTAAAATCAAGAAAAACAATTATTTTAATACAGTCTTCCCTACACCCTTTGAAATCAAATATACCCTTGGATTACTTAAATAGTAAATGCTTTGTGTGTGCATTTATGTAATACATCTACAGTACTCTGTAATTAAAAAGTCATACAATAAATCATAAATAAATAAATGCATTTCATATTTATACATACATATATATGATCATTTATAGTTTTGAGAGTCTCAGCGCGAGCTCCCAGAAATGAAATTCAGACACAAATGCAGAAAAATGTGTATCTTTTCCTCCTGACTGCAGCATTAAAAATACAATTCTCTCATTGTGAATGGGCTATTTATAAACAGAGACAATTAAACAGCATTATTTCTTGTCTATTTTGGCAAAGTTTGGGGAAGAATGACATTGACTCCTTTCTCTTGAAGGGTGGCTGAATTAGAATGCCATGGCTGTTCTTTGCAGCAGCAAAGTCCTTCCTTTAGTAATGAATAATGAGGGATGTCTTCCCGCTCCTAACGAAGGCAATGAGTCATTGTGAAGCCGATTGTTGTAACGAAATGTAAAGGGGGGAAAAGGAAACCTTCTAGAAGACACTGATACCCATTACAGCAGTTACTTATTTATAATTTTTCAGAAGACAACTGAGAAGGTGCCGCAATCAGTTTTTATTACTTTATATTACTCTAAGTTAATTTTCATGGAAGACTTCATTTTTGGAGGCTCCTACACACATTGAATTGCAAATGTAAATGAGAAGTTAAAATTGCATTTGGACATGCATGTCTTATGGAATTGTGCTAAAAAAAGCACCTTCATTTTACAATTCCCTAACTTGACAGCATATGAAGGGGGAGTCCATCCCTCCCAGCTACTTTACAGTCAGAGTCAGTGAAGCAGCAAGCTTCTTTAATGTAAAACTTTAATATTTACTTAGGAACTTGCTGATGAACATTTCTGATAAGCAATTAGTTTTCAATTTCCAGAAATATAAAAAACGCTGAAGTTGACACCTCTGTATTATCTCATGTTACAACCACAGGTTCCTAATTTATGAACAAATTCCTTGTTTCACAAGCATGATGTAGAAATTAGAAAGGCAACTATCAGAAGAAGTCCTTGAAGCTGCAGGAAGCAGTTCTATACATAAACTCTATTGCCTAGATACCAGGAAATTATCTTACTGCCTGGGGCTGTGGTTCACAATTGCAGATACTAGTATGAAATTACACTTCCAAGACCTTCTTAAACAATGTTCGGGGGGTGAATTATAAATGAAATTCACATAACTTACATAAAATTATAATTATCCACTCTACGTTGGCAAAGGACATTTGCACTCTCATGAAGTAATCCAGAGCCAAGGTAAGAGCAGAGTCCACTGTGGCTTTTAATTCAGCCTGTGAAACAGCAGCCACAAAACCTCCATGTCCCGGAGTGGATTTGGGGTACTGGATTTCTGCAAACACTGCCTGCTCTCCGGTAGGATTTCCACTGCTGTTCTTTGGACTGCTCTGTACATGGAATTTAACTGACAGTCCCAGGAGTGGCTTCAGTCCCCCTTCCCCACACCGTCTTACTTTGTACACGCAGTGGGTAGGAAAAACAGTACTAAGTGCCTGAATTGCCTGAATTGCTGTTGTGTATGCTGTGAAAAACACAATCTGGAATGAACTTAACCCACCAAAGCAGTGATGACTGCACTTTTTTAAGGGACAACTACATGGGAGAGCTGTTCCAAGATCTTTCTCCTTAAGGCCCCTTCCAGGATAGTTTACTACCAAGTGGCAAAACAGCTGCTGTCTGGGACATCGGGAGTATCTGTCGTATCTCAAGTACAGGCTTCCCAAGGGTGAAGCAGTCGGGATCTTCCAAAACAGAGCTGAAGATGGTATCTTGATAAAGGAAAGTGGCAGGGATAGAGGTAGAGGAGGAAGCATGTCTGGCAAGAGCACTGGCTGACAGAAACTCGTCAAGTCACATATGTTGTATGGTAATAATATATATCATATATTGTAGTCCAGTTCTGCTGCATAGTGGCTAGAGACGTGTGTGTCTGGTGACTTGATGTGATATAAGCTTGTGTCTGGCTTACATGGAGCAGCGTAAATTTCTACCAGATGAAGTCGGTTCTTTGTATTAAAATTTACAAACTGGGCTCTGAAGGATTCAGCTAACATCCACACAACCATCATGAAAAGGAGCAAGAAAAAGGAAAAAAACCACCAAGCCATACAACTGGGATGTAAGGCATCTATTGAAGAGCTACTTCATATACTGCTTCCATTAATAATCTTCAGTGGCTTCAATGAAAGTTTGTCAAAGTAATGCAGATTTAGTGCTGCCTGTGACTATATCACACTGAAGGACTTTGGAGGGTGAAATTCCTGAAAGCTAGACATAAGTAGAATTCCCTTTTTTCCCTCTCCAGCTTACTTGTGCAATTCCACTCGTGCTTGGGGATTATGTCTCTAGCTCTTAATAAAGCCTGCCATTGTTTTTCTGCCTTGTCTCTAGATAGTTGGAAACTAATACTCCAAACACAACAGAAGAGAAAAAATGGATGGAATAAATGAGAATCAGTGGCCTATTTTTGACCACTGCTATCCCCGTGACAGTAGCCTCTGCAGCAGGGCCTGCATGCTGCCCAGCATCTAATTATTTTTCAGGGACATAGGAATTGGATAAATTATAGTATGTAGCTCCCTTCCCCCCATGTACTTTAATTTTACGTCTACCAGTGTACAACTGTAATTATTTCTCTGAATAAGCTCTTCAGCTTTTTTTTTTTTCAATAGTCACAATCTAAAGACAGATGCAACATCAATTAGCAATGACAGGAATGATTTCAGCAGACATTTGAATCCAACACAAACATTGTGCTCTCCTCCACCTGTCTTTCAACATGACATGAAGTCATAATAATCTCTTATTTCTGGCATTTGAATAGCTTTGGAAAGAACTGCTTTTTATGCATAAATAGGCATTGGATTTATGCAGGCAATACAGTGGAGGCCTGAAGTTTGGTGAGTCACGCTTGGCTTTGATCTGGAATGCCTGGTAGCTTTTGTCTTTGGCAATACTGATTCTTAGTAGTGGTTTGCCTACCTGTTGACACAGTACATAAGAGCAAAACCACAACAGTACCAATACTGCTTCAGTAGCAGAAAATAGCCTCATGATTATAGCTTTAAAGCTATTTTAGGTAAGTAATTGCAGAGAGTGGGCCAGCAAGCACTTGATTGTACTGAAAAGAGGTACGGGA